ATGTCTCGGACCCATACAGGAGGACTGCTTTCACATTGGTGTTGAAGATGCGGATCTTGCTGCGCTGAGATAAGGCTTTGGAGTTCCAGATGGGTCGCAGGATGTTGAATGCAAGCCTTGCTTTGTTGATCCAGCTCCTAACATCTTCATCTGCACTGCCATCACTGTTGACTACGCTTCCTAGGTAGACAACGCGGTCAGTTCCCATTAAGTCTTCTCCCTGTAGCTGCTGTGGATGTTTTTGTCGGTTGTTCAGCCGCATCACCTCTGTTTTTCTGACATTAATCTTCAGGACGGGCTTTTCTGCCTCTTCACCGAGCCGGGTAAGCTTGGACTGTGCATGTTGCTGCTTATGGGACAGAAGGCTGACGTCGTCTGCAAAATCCAGGTCCTCCAGCTGTTTGGTGAAGGTCCACTGGATACCGGTATTGCTGCCCTCTGTGGTTCTTCTCATGATCCAGTCCATGACGATCGGGAAGCTCGTCGGTGACTGCATGCAGCCTTGCCTCACTTCGTTTTTCACTGCGAAGTGGTTGGCCAGTTTTCAGTTGTGGATGATCTGGCAGGACGTGTCTTCGTATAGCTCTTGGATTATGTTGATGCGCTTCTGTGGGATTCCGTAGTGTTGCATCAGTTTCCAAATGGTCTCCCTGTCGACACTGTCGAAGGCTTTTTCAAAGTCGACGAAGATTGTGTACAAGGGAGACTGCCATTCGATAGACTGCTCGATGATGATGCGCAGAGTGGTGATGTGGTCTGTACATGATCTGTCTTGTCTAAATCCTGCCTGCTCTGATCTCAGTCTCTTGTCCAATGCCTCCTGCAGTCTCTCCAAGATGATTCTGGTCAACACCTTGCTGGGGATAGACAGCAGCATAATTCCTCGCCAGTTGCCAAACTGGGATAGATCGCCTTTCTTTGGGAGCTTCACCAGGTACCCAAGCTTCCAGTCAGAAGGCACTTGCTCCTGTTCCCATATCTTCACTAACCTCTGGGTGGTCTTGGGTCGATTTGTGCCATTTTTCATTGTTCGTATACACGCCATTTGCACTGTGTTGAACGGAATATAGCCAACTTTTCCAAAAAAAAGTCTGGTTACATATATTTCAAAATTCCAGTCTGACTCCCTTAAATTAGCTTCAGTGGCTGAGCTACAGATAAACTTACACTATTGGTCCTAGTGGTCGATTTGTGCCCCATTGAAACCCATTATAAACGCTATTTCCCATTCCACGGTCATTACAACCAAATAATGGGCCATCTTCCGAATGTTGGTGGTACTCGGGAGTCCGGGCCTTGGAATTGTATCTTTTGGGAAATATTTGATTTCTTTGTTTTTTGGGGCTAAAAAAACAGTGCGGCCATGTGACGAAACCGGGATATAAAGGGTTAAAATCCGCGAAATGTAATTAAAACTTGATATGAATATTTCAAGGAGAAGTAGGTCTAAAAGATTGGCTAATTTAAAGTGGAAAAAAATATTAATATATAGATATTTTATGGCACTTTTCATGGCGTGGTCGATTTGTGGCTCTAAGCCCAATAGTGTATGCATTTTTCTAGGACCCCCCAGAGGTTAAGAGAGGATGCAGCATCTCCACTGCTGCTGCCACGTCTGCCTTGACAGCTTCTGGAAGCCCTGGTACCTTTCCATTTTTCAAGGACTTGATGGCTTTGGTGATCTCTGCCTTGGTTGGTGGATTGATGAGTTACGATGTGGACTTTTAATTCATGGCATGGGGGGGGGGGGGGTGTAGGTCACAAAGTCTCAGAAAAGCAGAAAGAGAAGTATAATGACATGGGAAGGGCATTCATGCTTTGAATAATTTTCACAAACATTCCAAGTTATGATAGTGTTGGGTCTGTGTTTCCACAAGCCCCGATAGTTTAGAGACTTATTCATCATGAAGAAAACAAGACAGTCAGCGATCGATCGATTTACTTGCAAGGGAGGCCTCGTCGGTCTACCACGAAAATGACCCCAACGGCCTCCTCTGCTGCCTTTTATTGGGAAAACAGTTCACACAAAACATAGTACCTCCCCTCTAAACCCCCCTTGGTTACAAAGACAAGGCACTGTATGTATGTGTGTGTGTGTGTGTGTGTGTGTGTGTGTAGTGTGTGTGTGTGTGTGTGTGAGTGTGTTGTGTGCCCTGTGTGTGTGTCGTGTTCCTGATCAAACTGTTTCTACAACATCCTGGTCATAAAGAGGGTAGTCTCCCCCACACCCAATGTATGGTTCACCATGATAACACAGTGAAGCCATACAAAGGGCAGGAAGCTTACCAAACTTCAAACAGATCTCCAGGGATGTGTAATAATCCTCCCCCGCACAGAGTGGCTGGAGAGGTGGTCAGGGACAAAGGCATGTCTTGATCCTATAGATTGAACTAAGACCTTACAAATTTAAGAAGCATAATGACAAACATTCAACAATAAGACTTAGCAAGTAGGCTGACATAAACCGAAACATCACTGACATTAAAAACCAGTGCCAGCGACAATTTATGCCAAGTAGACTCTCCTGCAATGTAAAGCATCAAAGTGTGGGCGGCCTGTGGTGTAAAGACTTCCTGTACCTGGGGCATGCAGGTGTAGAGCAGCAAATGTGGTGACAAAGCTCTGCAGAGGCATCAGGGCACCAGCATAAAGCGACGAGCAGCAGCATCAAGGAGCTGAAGGTCAAGAGACATCCAGGAGTCCACACTTTGAGATCTCATGTGTACTGCATAAATCGTGCTGTATTTAGTGACCTAAAAGTTTACGGTTTTTGCTAAAGTTTTCTGTGAAGCTAAACAACCACAAAATCCTCTCACATCTGCTCAGGACCTTTTTAACCAATTCATGCTTCTTTTAAATCCAGAAGCAATAACACTTTTCAGGTCGCAGCACCTAAACTTCAGACTCTTTTCTTCCATGATGCACATCTGATGTGGGTGGAAAGACGAAAATTCTGATTTAGATGGTCGCAGTTGAACTTGTTTCTCATTCGGTGAATTTAAAAGACTCACTTTGTTTGTGTTAATCATGTTTTCATTTATGATGACACACTCCTGTTCCCTGTAGGCTGATGTGGTGTTTTTTGCTGTACTCACAGTGCAGATTGAGATAAACTCAGCAGGAAAACGGGACTTTAGTTTCCTTGAAGAGCTGAGATGAGCCTGCTGATTGTGAGACATCAGCGACCCCACACAGCAGCAGAAGCATCTGCCAGCTCAGTGCAGGATGCAGATTCAGTGTGCACCCAACAGCTCCACCTGACAGCCAAATAGCAGTAGCAATGAAGATGAGCCAGTTTTCTGCTGTGTGGGAAGTTGCAGCACCATCATGTGTGAAATCTGCAAGAAAAAAAAAAACTCTGCAAATGGTGCGCACGCGCACACACAGATAACAAACTGCCAGGCTGATGCATGAAAAAACAAACACATTAACAAGGAAATGGAAAGTGTGGCCTATTACTGGCAGTGTTTATTTTTAGACGATTAAAAGTTGGAACTCTTCTTGCTCGTTTACCAGAAACATCACAAAAGTTGTTGTGTGGGCCTTATTGGTGCACATGTCAGGTATGGTGTTAAAACCTGCATGCACTCATTTATGTATCAAGGTGCAGTAAAGAGGACCCAAGGCCCATTTTTTTCACGTTGACTGCAAACCCCAGATATTGCTGGGAAACCTCGGTAGAGCTGATTTCAGGTACCGTGCACCTTTCACATAGTATGAACTGTCCTCACAGCAGAACTGAGGAGATCTTAAGCTCTTAGTTCTCTTTTAGGGAAACATAAAGCATCCTTAATATTTCTTGTTACTTTCATAAGTCGAGAAAATTAAACTCCATCTTTCTGTGTATATAAGCAGTCATGTGAAAAAATAAAGGTGTCTCTGTGCAGTGCTTGCTTTCCATTTCAGCCATTCTAATGTAGATTTGCTAGTGTGATTGGGATCACTGACCTATTGCATGACTCAACTTCGGCCAAGCTTTATCTGTCAGATGTCCTCACATTTGAGCATACTTTTATGTAGAGTTCATTTCATTTTCATTTATTTATTTCAGACTTTTAGTCACTGAGTCATTGAGCTGACTCAGTGACTAAAAGATGCCCAGGGCCTGTGGCTGGAAAATAAGTCCAGATCATCACCCCTCCACCACCATGCTTGACAGCTGGAATGAGGAAGAGAAACTGCAGTTCCTCTACTGGCCACTTGAGGGCGACTCCAAAAGAGACTCCCATGTTAATATGCCTAATTTTACAGCCTGGCCTCTGTGGATAATTCTCCCATTCATCACAGCTGCATGTCCTGACACAGGCAGTTGGATCAGATTGGGGTCTGCTAGGCCTCAGCTACTATTTTGAGCCATTAAACTGGATCTCTTTACTGTTTGTGTGCTGTTGGTGCCTTTTGGATCATTTCTGGATTATCTGACTAACATTACAGCTTCCTGGGAGGTACAGATCACGCAAGAAATTATTTTTGATGAGTGAAATTAGCACTAATTAAATAATAAATACCCAGTTAATGGTAACCTCTGGCTCAAAATTATGCAGTGGTTCACGCACGCTATGTCCATATTTTATACCAAATTTGCATGACACATCTGACAACAAAGCACCAAATCACGTCTTACAAGGTGATCAAATACTTACATCACTAACTAAAATGTACATATTTTGTAAATCTCCTAATAGTTTTGTTGAGAATTTAATTAAATTATTAAAATAAACCCACCAATTACATTATGGACTGCTGGTGAATTTAATAATTCAGCAATGACTTGTTTATTCTTGTATTTTGCTTGTTTACATTATTGTATTTTGCACAACTCTGTTGCTTGTGAAGCTCGCACACAAGAATTTCACTCACATGTGCTGTACCAATGTACCTGCACATGTGATGTGACAATAAAAGTGATTTGATTTGATTTGATTTACCCTAGTGTATAAATGATCAAATCAGGGTTATTTAGTCAAGTAAAAGACAAAATTTGTGTCACATCACAAAAGCAGATTCCAGCATGTTTATTACCAAATGATGACAATTGTTATCTTCCAGGGGGAAAAAAAAACAAACAAACAAAAGAAATATGAGGCCAAACGGGGTGCAACAGATATCTTAAGGCTCTGTTAAATTCTTAGCTTCAAAACAAAGATACAACATAGCATGTATCCCAAAAATGCACAGAAAGCAAATAACTAGTATAAGTTTAAAACTGGCTAGCCCGTGTCATTAGCTCTTAATAAATAGGTTACTATAAGAAAAAGAAGAATACAAAGTAAAATCTGATTAACTGTGTCAGAACTTCTTATTAATCCACATTTCAGAGGAAGTTATTTTTTTCTAAATGATAAGGAATCGGCGTCTCTGAATATTTAAAGTGACACGCGTCATGGAGTCAAACACAAATATGCACGCTGAACTTCCTGCAGTCGTTCCCCCCTCCCTCCAATAGAATAAAATAACATAAAATAAAAAACTGCCCTCAAGAAAGCTGAAAATGGAAGACCGGCGTCCACGCAAGTCACACCTTGTAGAGACTGAAAACAGCAAAATGGCTCATCCACATCACTTCAAGTTGAATTAGCGGTAAAAAACATTTTCACTTTTGAGCGTGCGTGCTTTCAGATGAGTTTCACTGCCTCACACTACTGAAAAATTAAAAATAAGCATCACTGGTTTAATACAGTTATTCACCCTGCTGAGCTAAAAAAACAAAACAAAAAAACCTCACGTTACTTTAATTTGTGTCAGTTTTACGGAATAAGATTTTCAAAATAAGATCAGCACAGTACACCAGGATGGGAAACTGGCTGAAGTAAGCATGCTTAAAAGTGAAAATGCTCCAATAATATGAAATATTTTTTTCAAATTCCAAACTTGAGACATAATACAAGGAATATTAAAGTATATAGTAATGATTTAAGCAGCTTTAAAAAGATGCTGCAACCTCACAACACTCCTGCTTTCAGGGATATTTCAGGAAAAAAAAAACAAAAAACCACACACACATAAAAAACAAAACAAAACAAAAAAACCCGAAAAGACGAATTCACAGGTGGCCGTTCGTAAAAGTCAGTCAGTCCAACTTGATCCCGGGTCATCGCGAAGGCCGTTGAGGTTGCAGCAGAAACATCTTCTAACAGTTATGATATCAAAAATAGGACCGACGTCTTTCCTGTCAGATGCTCTGAGACAGGAAGTCAGAAACCACCTCAAGCAAAAACTTTGCCAGCTGCGGTAAGTTTTTAATCAGCAGGGTTGAAGTCAGGTTGTGCCCGGGTTAACGGATCATCGAAAAGCTTGAGGTGGATCCAGACAAATGATGAGTCTGTGAAACAGAAACACAGGAGGCCTTAGCTCAGGGTTTGTGAAGTTAAACGCAATGATTTTTAAGATCAAAGCATGTCAAAGTTATTATTTTCAAATACAAGTCAGAGTCAAGTTTGGATTATTTAACAGTTTTTTATGCTTTTCTCTGCCATATGTAACGGTAAACTAAAGCTTTCCTGGTTTCTGGACTGCTGCTCAGACAAAATGTACAACTAAAAGTCATCGACGGCAAACGTCTCCTTACTAACAATCCTTATGATACTTTAAATCCACTAAGGATATGGCATAAAGTATTCCATGTCCGAGGTGCATAAAGAAAATGGTTTTCTCTCAAACTTAAAAACTCTGTGCACAATAAAAAACACAAAAACAAGAAAACAAAAAACTGTTTGGATTACTGTCCAGTGAATTTCTTCCAGTGTACTGGACCCAGCCTGCTGGACCCAAAATGGCTGCCCTCATACTGGATTATTTTTGTTTAAACATAATTAAATTTGCTCATGTAGCTTATTAACCTACTTTCTTAAACTAATTTGAATCCTGGAGTGCAACAGTATTGACTGTTCTTAGGTATATTTCTTCTTTACTTGTAATACACGCAGGGTTACATCCTCCTGCAGGTCAATGCCCAAACAGAACGATGTTTAAGGAACGCTACGGTTTGTGTGATAAAATCAAGTTGTGGATAAAAACTGATACTCACATGGCGGTATTTTGAGTTGTGTTTACTGTATACACGGTAATGCTCGATGTTTTATTTTTAAATTACTGAGTTTTGCGGTTTAAGGAAAGGAAATTCGTAAAGCTTGCAACTGATGCTTAAAGGTTACAGTGAAGTTACAGTACTGAGAAAAAGTATTTGCCCCTGCTCTCTCTTCTCTTCTTTTGTTTTTTCCACATTTACAGGTTTCAGGTCATCAAACAAATGTTAATATTGGAAAAAGATAACCCAAGTAAAATACTGAAAGCAGCTTTTAATGATTTCATATAATTTACTGATTGATTCCTTATCGATTCAATCCTTACTGATAGTGCTGTGTGGTTAAATGTTTGTGCGTGTTGGAGGCTTTTCCTGCATGCAGAACACTTTCCCTAAAAAGGTAATGAGGAAGTAATTTGACACATTACTTTCGCATTTCTCAGTAAAATGACCTGAAACATACCATCTCATAATTACCATTTAACAACATAAACCTCAGGCTACAGTCCCACGCATCAGCACAAATCCCTATCCTAATGAATGGACAATAAGCCGGGCTTAATTGGCAGGCAAGAAACTGAAATACTGGGAAAAGGTTCTCAATTCCCATCCCAATTTAAAACCCAAATGATTTTGAGCTTCAAAGCATGATCTGATGGCAGGATATTCTTCAGGTTTTTTGTTTCTGTTTTTGTAGCGAGCAGAGTTCATAGTTCCATCAATTCCATCAAGTCATCCAAGTCCTGAAGCAGCAAAGCAGCCCCAAAGCATCACATTACCACCACCATGTTTGGCTGTTGATACAATGTTCTTTTTATGAAATGCTGTGTTAGTTCTCCACCTAATGTAACAGAAATATTTTAAGCTCACATTTGTTTTTAGCCAAACACAAATCAAGCCTTTGGGTTTGTTTTGTTCATCGGTGGCTTTTGTCTCTTTCTTATTTCTGAATCATGAACTCTGACATTTATTGCAGGAAGTGAGGCCTAAAGTTCTTTAGATGTTCTGAGTGCTTTTGTGACCTCTTGGATGAGTTGTTGATGCACTCTTGGGAGTAATTTTGGTAGGTCATCCACTGCTGGTAATGTGCACTGCAGTTCTCTATATTTATGGATTATGACTCTCAACATGATTCAGTGGAGTTCCAAAGCCTTAGAAATTGCTTTTTAACTCTTTCCATACTAAGAGATGTCAATGTTTCTAATCAGTTTGAGTTTCTTTAACTCACAGCACGATGTGTTGCTTTTTGAGTTAATTTGGCCTACTTCACTTTGTTAGACGTGTTCTCGTTAAGTGATTTCCTGATTCAACATGTCTGGTAGGGTGTACTAGTGAAACTGAACTTACCCCCTGTGAATTAATCACAGTTAATTCGTGATTTTGGATAGATCTTTTCCCATAATAAAAAACTCCATTTTGTTTTTACTTGGGTTATCTAATATTAAATTTTGTTTGATCTGGCAATTTCTTAACTTTGCTGCAGAATGACAACAGCAGGCGCACTCTTTCTACAGTAGTAACAATATCTGCAGCATTCTCAAGAGAGGCGCATCATTTATTTTACTACATTTATTTATGCCCCAAAACGCATTTATGATACTGTTGTGCATTTAGCTAGCAGTATATAATATATAAAAAAATCCCAGTGAGCCAACAGATCAGACATTTTAAATTATAAATACGTAATAAATTAAAATGTCTGATCTGTTGGCTCACTGGGATTTTTTTTTTTAAAAACACTGAGCTGGGGATCCACTGATCTAATAACTGGATCAGATATCATTCCAGTCTTAACTCAAAAATTTGGAACGTACATCTGTGCCTGCTGTCTACAGAAGCATCTATTAAACTCAGCTGTATGTTTTGTTCTGTGTTTACTTCTAGCGTGAAAATGTGAAGTACTTCAAAAAACGTAATCTACCGTGTTGATGGACTCAAAGAAAATCCAAAGGGTTTAAGGATTACTTATTATTGATTATCTGACACATTTTGGATCCTGAACTTCACAGATGTCATCATTAGTTAAAAACAACTTAAAAGTCCAAATTAAAGGTACTGATGGAGAATCAACCTCATATATCACCATAAGATGACAATTAACAGAGTAATGATTAAAGGTTTAGCACTCAGAATTTTTAAAGCAGCCATCTTTATTTTCTTGCTTTAATTTGAGACTAAATGACCGGCGAGAATCCTACAGCTGCATAAGATTTAAAAGGCTGGTGGGTTTTAAACCGCGGTTGCATCTCTCACAGAATCTAAACTGAACTTCCTGTTTTGGAACATAAATAATTTTTCAGGATGTCACATTTTCCTCTTTCTGCGACTCGCCTCATAGGACCATCTGCTTCATTGCCCCCTGCTCTTCCTCCTGGCCCTGAGCATTCAGACAGTTGCATTCTTCATGCTGCATACTTTCTGCGATCTTATGATAACAAGATAAACCAAACAGTTTGCCCAGAGCAGCACCACCCACTCTTCTTTCTCACTTCCAGCCGAATCTCTCTCTCCCTCACACTGCACTCAAAACACCACACAGTCTTGTGAACCGTCTCTACAGGGACATTTTATCACATTTCGTAAAAATAGTAAGGGGCCAACTGTGCTGTGTGTCCAGAGCATGGGTACAGCACTGCTAGATTATGTCCCTACCTTTTCCTCACTGTACCACGCAGGCTGTGCAGCACTGTTCCTGCTTCTCTGGCAGCGAGGAGTAATTCATCTGCCGGACAATCTCTGCAAACAGCTCATCCACCATCGTCTTGCTCTTGGCAGAGGTTTCGATAAAAGGGCAGCCCCACTCTTGAGCCAAAGCCCGTCCATCTGATCCGGCCACCTCACGCTCAGACTCCAGGTCGACTTTGTTACCAACCAGAATCAGCGGCACCTTCTCAAAGCGCTTCACTCGCACTATTTGGTCTCGCATTGGTCTGATGTCCTTAAAGATTGAGAAAAATAAGAAGTGTGAGATATTGAAATTTAAACAAAACAAAAAATGAATCATCAAGCAGATGCGAACTTTGGTTATTTCTCAACAGGCACAATTTCTTCATGATGCAAACATTTAATTACGATTTTTCTGGCTCAAAACTGGTCACATTGTTGAGGTACCTTTCTGTCATCGTTGTATTTTTACTCAGTTGTATATAGCATTTGTATTTGTATTCTATTTTTATCTTATTGTATATTTATTTTTATTTTATTCTACTGTATATAGTATTTTATTTATTCTATTCTGTACAGTTGTGTACTGTATTTATTCTTATTGTATCCTAATTTTTGCCTCATAACTTTTGCACTGTCCACTTCCTGCTGTGACAAAACAAATTTCCCACGTGTGGGACTAATAAAGGTTATCTTATCTTAAAGCTTTTTTTTACCCAGCAGACATTCGTGAATTTTCATGAAAGTTTTGGAAATATGCAAATATCTATTTTAAGGTTGCTAAACATTTCCTTTTGGGAAGGCCAAAACTTCTTTTCACATCTAGTTAAAGCACTTTTATTTATTGGTACTTCAAAAGTAATTATCCATTAAATACCGAGTGCTAATATTGAAGGCTCTAAAATATCAGGACGTGGGATGACTATTTTCTTTAGTAGACCTGGTTCATAGTTATCTAAGCTTTCTTATGCACTGTTTGTTTTCTGTGTGGTGCCATCCTTCAACAAATGAGTGCTATATGGAGATATTGGGGGTCCAAATGAGCCCTAACCTTCCCATTTTAATCTCGATAATGTGGCTTGTAGCACTCCCTGCATGAGAAGTATGAATCACAGCCTGATTAACCACATACGGTTGCAGATTTCAGGTGTGTGTGGTGCATCTGGGGTACCTGGAAAGACTGCTGGTTGACCAGGCTGTAGACCAGGATGAAGCCCTGTCCGTTCTTGATGTACAGGTCTCTCATGGACGCGAACTGCTCCGTCCCCGCCGTGTCCAGGATCTCCAGCACGGAGGGCGACGAGTCCACCTCGATCTCCTTCCGGTAGAAGTCCTCGATGGTCGGGTCATATTTCTCGATAAAAGTGCCGGTGACAAACTGCACGGTGAGCGCGGATTTCCCGACGCCGCCGCTGCCCAGCACGACAACTTTGTATTCTTTCATTGGGGCGGTCAAGGCGGGCTAACTCAGCAGCTAACGACTGCTATACTCGCTCCACAAACATTTATCAGGCCTTTACGAGAGCTAACGAGAGAAGCCACAAAAGTTAGACGATATACAATAACCCCCCTCATTCACATAAACAGTTCAACCGCTCATACTTGGGTTTTTCTACGTTTTCCAGCTAGTGAGACAGTAAAAGTTGATGTCCGGCAACTCCGGCGTTAGCTAGCGTTAAAGCTAGCTCGCGCCTGGCTGAATTCCCGCTGTGCCATCCTCGCGCTTTCAGTCGTTAGATCGATGTGATTCACCACAAGCGCCGGCGTTGGTCAGTGAACTTGTTGTCTACTGACGGCAGGTCACGGTGGTACACATTAGACCCTCACCCCAAACCGCATGACAGTCCCCACAGCAGCCCGCCGGTATCGCCGCAGCGTTGACTGCGTCCTTCCCTTAGTCCGGGCCTGGTTCTGGTTCCGGCCCAGCCCGGCGCCCTAGCAACCGGGCCCGTTATCGACGCAGACTCAGTGTTATAATCCCACCGTCCATTGGCTACAGTTTATTACTGATCCGGTATATATGTGACTGTGTACAGGGTGGGTTCTGCTTCAGAAAGAAAGGCTTTTTTTCAACCATCTGATTTCCTGGAGCTAACAACCTGTTTCCGCTAACGAGAATCAGACTTCCGCTGCGACGGTTTTCATAATAAAAGCACACAAAAGCGTTACAGAAAATTACGATTTTTCGTTTCTAACATCCATCCAGGTTTTCCACTTAGCCAATTCTGGGTCGCGGGGACTTGATCATTTTCTTTCCTTGATATTTATTTATTTATTTAAATACAGTACTGTGCAAATGCCTTGAGACACCCCTTATTCCTTTAAATTAGTTTTTTTAAAATGCGCCCTCTCCAGGCTTTTTGAAGAAAATCTTTTTTCCTTTTCACTCATTTTCAGTCCAGTCCTTGTACCTGACCATTTTCAGATGACAATTTTAAAAAAATGTTTTACACTGACGTTTGAGTCATTCAAACAAGTGATGAGCTAGTTTTATGTCCACACACAATAGACAGTTTGTTACATTTCAGTTTTATTACAGTTTAGTTGAATACACAATAATAATAATAATAATAATGATAATTGCTAACCTACATATTTAGCGATTTATCATGCAGACCTATCTTATTCACACAAGTTATCTAAATGAGCAGATTGTTGTCACATGAAGTGGTTTCATTTATTTTCCCGCAGTTACACACTATCCTCCAGGGGATTAGCTTCACTGATGCATAAGTGTGGGTTAGTTCACAATGTGAAAAACACCAAGACTGGACGTTGTGAGCAAAGAGTGGTTTAATGTGCAATCACAATGTTGCCGTTATATGAAGGAAGAATTTGTTTAAAGAAACAGCCACAAAATGAATCAGCTGCAGGTCCATCTTGACCATTTCTCCGTGTTACTGAGGATGTCACACTCAGAGGTTGCAGTCTTACATCAGCAGCATAAGGAAGCTGGTCAACCTCACTTCCTCTGAGAGCAGTTTCGATTCCTGTTTTTATATTTATATTTGGGTGAAGTTCTCTGAATAGCTTTACTATAGTGCTTTTAACTGCAATAGATTAAGTTAGTGGTCTGCTAATTCAGATTAATTCTGCATACTGAAGACAGTGACTCTCTACAGTGCAGTTAATTTCAAAACTGCATCATTCATCACACTTTGCACTCATTTATCTAAGAAACTTTAATTTCATCTGGTTTTTGCCATACTGTCTTCAGTAAGCCATTTTGCATTTTTTTATTGTAATGCATAGTCATATTACCTCATTATATTTGAGTTAATTAATTTTTTTAGATAATTAAGATAATTGTTTGATCCTGTTTTATTTAATTTTATTGAGCTATAGACTATTTTATTGATTTAAACTATATGTTGTTGGGCAGATCTTTAGGTATGCCTTTAAACTCCTCAATCAACACAAATATTTAATCAGCCAATAACATGGCAGCAACTCAGTGTATTGACATGTTGAGTTCAAATTGAGCATCAAAATAGGGAAGAACTGTGATTTAAGGGACTTTGAAAATGGCATGAATGGGATGGTCTGAGTATTTCAGAAACTGTGGATCTAGTGGGATTTTCCCACACAATCACAGGGTTTACAGAGCATGGTTTTCTGAGGGAAAATGCCTTGTCGATACCTGAAGTCAGAGGAGAATGGCGAGACTATGTCAAGCTGATAAGGGTCAACAGTAATTCGTTACAACCAAGGAGGAAGAGCATCTGTGAACCCAGATGAGCTGCAGCAGCAGAAGTCCACATCAGGTGCCAGTATTGTCAGCTAAGAACAGGAAACTTAGGCCACGATTTGAGGCTACAACATTTCTGAGGAATGTTTCCAGTTCCCAGTACTGGCAAGGTGCACCTAACAAAATGTCCAGTGTGTCTATACCCTATGCTTGAATAAATTTAACCCCATAATATTTTCATCTTGATCCCAATGACCTGATTTCTCTTTTGTGAAAGGTTAAAAGGTCTTTCCTGGGTGCCAAAACACTTTATATACAGATAAGCCCCTGAGATGCATGTGTGTTATTGTAGTCTTAGTTATTAACAGTTGTTGCATAAAGGGGTCCTTTAAGGCTATATATGCACATTTAGGGGCATTACCAGATGTTCAGGGTGTACGTTGTGGTTTGTATACTTCTTTTGCTGTATTTGTATGTCTGCAATGAAAGAGACAAAAAGAAAAAACACACAAGAGGATCACAATGAAGTGTTTTATTTAAGGTCAAACAGAAATTGCAGAACTCATCATAGGCACAGTAACTTACTCATAATTAGCTATACACTGCAAAATATATTGGCATGTAGCACAGGAGCACATACAAGCACCACAAGCAGAAAACAGAGTGAAACAAAGAAACAGCAGTCACGTTCAAGTCTGCCCAAGAGTGTCAGAGTTTTTTATGGCTTAGTCCTGAACAGTCTTTGGCCCTCATCATCTTCCACGGGGGTGTCGTTCAGTCGGCGATTGTACCCAATTTAAAAAATAAGTTGTGGACTCAACAGAGGATGTAATTAAATTGATATGATTGGCACACGCTCAGTTCACGTGGCGGTTTTAGTCATTGAGATGTAGAACCTAAAAGTCCAGTTTGCACATTAAAGGCACAATCACAACTAAAATGAATCGTAACAATACAGTGATTTAAAACCCACAGCATGTACTTAAACTGGGACAGCAATGATGAGGGGAGCTGGTGAGTCAGTAGAGACGCTTTGGTGAGTTGTGGGTACACGTCGTTCAGAGACCCGTCCCTGCTCACAAACTCTTTGAAGTCAATATTCAACAGTCAGAGGGCTGTGAACCGATTCTCCAGGATGACTCAGTCAGTTCAACACTAGGAGAAGTGCCATGGCAACAAAATCGCTGGCTTTGGGGGCAAATAAAGAGGATCACATGTTCAAATCAGCAGAACCAGAGTCATGTGAGGATGCTGCTGCTGCTGCTGGGAGAGGAAAATATTGGAAAAGCCGTTTGTTTGCAATTTAGTCTAAAATCCTGAGGAGAATTCAGATTTATTGTTGTTTTGGTTAATGACAAGAAACAGGAGAGTTTAAAAAAATTACAAAATGACAGAGATGAAGGCGAATTTAAATCTCTGTTCCTCTGTGGTCAGATTTAATATCGGCTCCTATTTTGTTTTTTTCCAGCCTGCAGATGGAGCTACTCTGTGCTTTATTTCGGTGCTTTACTGGAGAGAGGAATGTGTCTGCATGTCATCTGCTCAGATTAGGTTCTTACATATGATCCACCTCTCCTGTTTGATGTCAGGGTCGCATATTATTAAACCACAGAGGATCATTCAACTGAAGTGAACTGAAAAAAAAAATAGCTTTATAAAGCAAATCATTTGTAGTTTACAGCTAGGCAGTGCCATGCTTAGCAAAGAACAGGCCTCTAGCAACAAACAAAAGGGCAGATGTAAGAAAACAATAGACATATCGTTAACAATATATTGATTAGATTTTTTTAATTGACTCTTTTATCTGTATTTATTCAAAATAAATTTTGAGTATTCTGACATAGTTATGTACATAAGTGCAAACAAGGTGAACATCACACATTCGTATACACCTCAGTGAGGATCGACATCACCCAGCACAGCTGGGCAGTAAGAGACCTCGAGACCACCTTCTTGGCCAAAACCTGAGCCAGATCTCTCGGTCTGTAGGAGGCAAACGGCAAAAACCGCTCGCCTCCACAGAAAAAAGATCTTCCAGTTAGTCCAAGGGCCTCTTTACCGCCCTGACAGATGTTTGCTCTAAAAGCCAGAGTTCATTCCTATTTCTCAAAAACACCATGTACAAGAAGAAAAAACCTAAATATAAAATGAACGTCAAATAAACAAAACAAAATAAACGGCTGACCTCCCCTAAGGACCTTTGGATATTACAAGGATTAAAGTTTTTTCAATCACGTTGCAACAAGACAAACTAATAATTAGACATTCCCTTTTCGGATAGGTTAGTGCTGTATGTCATCTCAATTATTGTGGAAAAAAAAATCACTATTAGGATAATAAAAAGGTAGCCATGTTGTCATTTTGTTGCCATAGCAACAGCAACTATTACCATTAACAATGACTCCATCATTGTGTACAAACGATTTTCATATCATAATGTTTTTCATATTGGTCTACACAAACTATTAACTACATATAAATGATTTTTTTGTTGTCATTATTGTTATTATTATTTTCATGCCGCGTTTTTTTTTTTTTATGTCAGAAAAAAAAATCTTACATTTATTACATTTTCATACACAGCTGTGACATATGATCGAGGATTAAGGCCCTTTGTTTGTATTCTCAGGACTGGGTTAACTGTGTCCACATGCTGAAGGATCTGATCACAGGACAGCGAAGATCAGAGCTCTGCACACGTTGAACAGTTATGATTCAGGACCGTGTGGGGAAAAAAAATTACAACCAGGCCCAAAGGTAATCAAGTACAAGAGAATGAATGAGGGAACAAAATTAAGAGGTAAAAACATTGTTTGTATTTTTTTTTTACTCATGGTGCTCCACAATCCTCAAATTAATACACTCTTGAGCCTTAAAAGATACATTTAAATGTATTTAAAAACCTCAAATGCCCTCGAGAGGCACAGTTTATTAATCAAGTATTCTGTTTTTCCAGCTGGACAGTGAAGGCATACTGATGTTAGGGGTAGGGTCACTTAAGGAGGGGATTGGCTGGACGAAGCTAGTCTTTAGAAAAAGGGACCTGTCTGGACATTCTGATCATCAGGTTCATAGAGACAGCTATGAGCCTACATACTGTTTGATCCACCATGCAGATAAAAAGTCAGCTATACTTTAAAAAATACTTTATTCAACTATTTTGGGAGATACACTTATTCACAAGATTTTATATCACTCTTATGTCTGTATAGTAAATATGAAGCTTAAATCAGCTGTATGGGGCACTAGCCTGTTTCCATACAAAGTGGAGCTACACAGATAAATTAACAGGTATTAGGTTATTACAAATAAGGTGTCCTCTAAAAGTATGTAAACTGAAATAGATATTTTAAACCTCAGTTTTAGCATTTTAGGATGAAAGCATTGCATGAGATAAAATACAGACTGGCTTTAGCTTTTATTATGTGCTATTTAATACACAAACAGCACAGAAATAGATAGTTATGCATCTTGATATTTGTAGACCAGTTCAGTAGCGTTTACTTTAGGCTACTTTTTCGCTGTTCAGTCAACATGCTTTCATGTGGCTTCTGATGTAGAGGATCTGTGGATTTGTTCTCTGCTCGGTCTGTTTGACCTCAGCACAGCCTCTGATACTGTCGACCATGATACTTTCCTTAGTAGACCTATGGTTTCCATTTGACTAACTTTCTTCTTATTTATCTGCAAGGCTCAGATAAATGCGAGGCTCAATCCTGAGCCAGCTGGCATCATTCAGGGTTTTTCAGAAGTCTCTTATCGTTTCTATGCAGATGACATTTACTTATACGTCTATCATTTTCTATTATATTTTATTGTGATTTTTCACAGTTTTTATTTATTTTGCCAAGCACTTTATAACTTCATTTCTGTGACAAGTGCTTTTATAAATAAACTTTACTTACTTATATACTATATAAGAGCTAAAGCCACCAACTGTTTTGTCTCATTTTTGTGCTTTAATAGCAACTTCAGATGCACAAATTATCCAATAATATCTGTTAACGCACTTATAGAGGGCACTCTATTCTTGTTTAAGTTGGCTTAAGTTATTACAAACATTACACAGTTTGTCCAAAAGCTAACTTTTAGTTATCTAAAAGGTGTAAACACCTTCCATGCAAGACTGCACATTTAATCTTTAAAATGGATATAAAGAGGGCACTCTGTAGTTTTATAGATGTTTTCCTCCTGTAATTATTTCTTCATGGACAGTTTACAATCCATCTGGGTTATATTGCTGGTTGCCTGGCAACCTCACTGTTCACAAGCAGTCACGATGTGTAATGCGGTTGTTTTTGCACAACTGTTTATTAAGGTGTGCTGGACTTTTCTCTGTGTTACCTAGCAGCTCTTTCCAGCTTAGTATCAGCACAGAAACATAAGAGCAGCTCAGATCTTCTGTCTTTAAAAAAAAAAGTAAGCAGATATGTGTACTTTTTCTTAAACTGCCACAAATATGCCATTTGGGGCATTTAGGTGGTCAGGAGGGAAAAGCTTTTACACGCCCAAAATGAGGGTTAATCCCAGGATTATACCTGGTGCTGAACTTGCAGCTCTGGCTGGGTGGGTTTTCTGCACAGTTATGGCTCCACAAAGCCTTTCCACACCAAAAGTTAACAGAATCAGGGCTGCAGTACTGGGACAAGGGAAATACATGTGAGAAAAAAGGTAGCATGCTGACTTTCTGCCTAATGAGAATATGCTTTGTTTATAGTGCTTTGGATACTACAGAGGGTAGGGGTAGAAAAACTGACTAGCAATAAATGGTACTGAAATGTACCTGAATTGTGTACATTTGTACTTCAAAGAGTACAGCAGTCTGCTCTACCTTTTCTGACAGTGAAAGATATTTCTAAAAGTAGTCACACCACCCATTAACATTAAATATAAATCTATATAACAATACACATACTTTAATATGTCTTAACACAGTTTCATCATGGTACCTACAGTATGTGACCTCTGAAATAGTCTATATAGAGTGAACCATTACATTTCAGCATGCCTGTCTTTTAGAAGGGCATGTGTAAAGTTTTTGCATTAGATACATTCACGACACATTAACATTATTTAAAATGAATAATGTTCAATGGGAGATGTGTAATATCTGCAGCATTTACATCTAACCAAATATGTGATCCATCGTCTTTTCTGACACACGTATGTATGCACACAACTCTCTGATTTATTTCCTTACATTGACAGTAAGACAGCACAGCTGTCTCAGAGAAGAAACTGATACAAATGTGATTTCATATTATAATAATGTACCAAATAACACAGCTGTCTTTGAGCACTGGTCTGGTCTTACAGTGTACTGACAGTTTTGTTTGAGGAGACTTGAAAGAGGCACATTTGAATTTGGATATAAGTGATTTCAGCCCAGTTTCCAAAGCTGTTAAGTTCATTTTTTTGTATACACCTACAAAGCAATTCCTTACACACTTGAAAGTCCCCCCCCAATTTTTTTTTCACCATCAGACATCAAGCATGAGAACTGTTCATCCTTTTCTACAACTTGATTCTGGTTATAAGAATATTTAGAGTCTCGTCATTTTTGACAAACAGGACAGCAGTAGAAAGACATGACATTTTAAAGTCAGACAGGACATTTTCAAGTTCGAAGCTTTCTCCCTGCAGAACCATAAAACATAAAAATCTTGTGCCACTTATTTAGTCCAAAAGCCACATTAAACAAACAGCCTTTTGAAATACATCTCTGCATTAGAGAGGGAAACATTTATTTGGAGGATTTATCCAGATATTGCATTAAACGGGCAGTTCCTTGCATATACCGCAGACTTTAGGCACAACAAAAGGAAACCGATCTCGCTTCCATCTTGTGCAATAACTGACATCAGGTGTAAAAGTTTAAGTGGCATTTACAGGCGAGCTGAACACACACAGAATCGGTTTCAAAGAGTGTTCAGGTTTCAAATCACAGAGGAAACAGGATGAACCTTTCCTTTTTTAGTCGTTACACAGCTACCCATCACAAAAGAAACACAATCACTGATCGGAAATCACGATTCAAGAAACTTCACAGCTCAGGTTTATCAGTTTTGACGATTGGAGCTGTCTGGTCTATTACTGGAGAGTACTATACAGAGAGGGGCCCTTACATAGAGAACATGACCTCAGCTGCTTTAAGGCAGTTTATTTAACACATCCTAAAGATATCCCTCATCCCATCTTCTTTATAAGAAGTAATTACATACTAAGTTACTTTCACCCAGTCTACATTTTTCAATAAAACAGGGGGGGGGGGGCGAATCATTCATTGCATTTAAGAAACTCTAATATACATTTTAAGAGGCATTTGCTGTAACCAGTAGACTTTATCCCAATAGCAGCTACAGGCTAATACACTCTATTTACGTAACTAATTCTTCTTTTAAATTATTTTTGGGACACTAAGTCTCCTCTGCAGCTGAGCAGAAAAAATCAAAGGCACAAACAAATGAACAACAACCCCTTACTGACGTATCACCAGGCAAAATGAGACCATCATGACAGACTGAGCGGTACACGTCGTACAACACAAACGTCACATTTGCACTCATCTTGAAACGTAAACGTGACATGATATGAAACACTCTTTCACTTTGACAGCCCGTCATGGTTGGAGACCGGCAGCTGGTCCGTCTGAATTTTCTACAATGAACTTCTCAGAGTTTCTTACTTTGGAACAGTCAAATGTGTTGGGTGGCCTCATGTGATGGCTCCGACCCATAAAGGGCATTTAGTCTTGAATATATATGTGTGTGTTTATGTGTGCGCACATGTGCTGCACTTTTAAGGTGTGGGCATGTATGGCTGTAAGGACGAGGGAGCTCTATTGCTCGCCCCGATCGAGTCAGTATGCATCAGGGTGGCTGCTTTAAAGCAACGGTAATACGTCCAGGTCTGTATTGCATGAACCATCGCAGCTCTCTTACGTTCACAACATGATATCAGTCGGTGTGCACTGTGGGCGAGGCACATGTTTGCTGCAGTGCTCGGGGTTTATGGGACTTTAACTGGGGTTTCGGGAAAGGCTTACTGAGTTTAGTGCCACAGGAGCTGCCACCAGCAGTTTGGGGACGGGGCAGAAATGGGTTTCCATGGGAATGCACTGGAGCTCCACCGGATCTGAAGTCAGAAGCTCCGAGGGGTCTACTGGAAGAGAGAGAGGGGGGGAAGAGGAGGAGGAGGAGCTGTGAGTTCTTACAGACACAAACATATGCAGGCAAACCTCTGTAGCAGATTATTTTATACTGATATCTGTGCTTAATTATAATGATCTTTTAAAATTATGGGCAAAGCAAATAGTCAAGTTAGCACTGAGGTTGTTTTTATAGATGTTAATGCCGAATGCGTGTTATCACCTCACTTTACACCTTTGCTTGTTTGAATCTTCACGTCAAAAAGAGAGAGGGTTGGGTGTAACATCTCAGGAACGAAAGTTTACAAAATCTGTGATACCTAGTCGACTAGTTATGCACTCATCCATAGTAGCAGCAGGTTAGTTCAAAATCATGGACTGGTATGATGCTGGTAAACCGAAAGAATGCAAATTTAGGTCATTTCAGGTAAATTCCATTAAAGCTGCATAGTAGAGTCGAGCCACATGTGATTTCACCTTAAATGTGAAACATTTTTTCCTGCTGGACTTCTGTTTTAGCTGTAAGTAAACAACAAAAAGCAGCAAACACCACCAGTCAAAGGATTTTAGAGCGCTCTCATTTTTATACATATTAAGGGAAATTACATTGTGTAATATCTCAGTGCATAATGGTAATGGTTAATCCTTCAGTTTGTGCAAGCTCTTAAATCAAAGTGATGTTTTTATTGCTAAAATATCAAATTTACTGCTTTACAAAAAAGCAGAAAGAATTAGTAAAGCACATTATTGTTTTTTGATCGAGATGGTAAATTACAGCTTTTTACTAGTTTTGGTGGTTGAATGCTATCTAACGCTTGATTAAGTGTGCTGGCTCAAATTCGGGAATAAAAACGTGAATTCAGTTTGTTGTTTGCCAAATAAATAAAAACATAATTTTTAGTTTTAAGCAAGTTTTTGACAGATTTCTAAAATATTTGTGCTTTTTTTTGGTGTTTTGTCAGGTGGTCTAACAAATTTGTGAAGCACTGTGGCCACTTTCAGTTGTTTCCTTATTCACGAGAGGTCACCACAGCAGGTAGCTTTAATTTGGCAGATTTTCTACTCTGGATCCCCTTACTGATGCAGCCCCAAAGGGATCTGGATCTCCTCCTGGGATCAAACCGGGACTCCTTCACTTGTTAGGTGGGCTCTGGGCTTTAATTTCAGTGATCACTGGGACATAAAAGAAAACACACATAAAGAATGAAGAGGCAAATTTGATAAAAAAAAACTGCTTAAAATTTTGTGCCAAAATTAAGGTTTAACAAGCATTTTTCATCTTTTTGTGTTGTGGATTTTTTTGTGTCACATATCTCTTGTAACGTCTGTGTTGTACCGGTCTTTCCACAGTGGCGCACACATCAATGCACTTGCAGGTTGACCTGTCTGGTTAATCGAAGTTAAACTCTCTGTCCAGTTTGTTTCTTCAGAAATTTCAGGTCTTTGTGCTGCTGTGGGATAAACTGCAGACCCAGATTGCTTCAACTCTGTATTATATTTGATACACAAGTTTTTGTGAGTTTTTGAAATGTCTGCATCGTCAGTGTTGTTTTATTCCCTCTCAAAAACAAAATGTTTTAAGCAATAAAACATACCACATATAGCAAATTGATATTTATTTTCTTTTTTAATTTGTCAGAAGGTTCAATAAACGCTCCAGTTTCAAAAAGAATAAAACATTTCTGGCCATTTTTCACAGTTCAGGATTTTCAGGGCCAACGGTGCATCAGAGGGTGTAGATTGTTCCTGTACAGACCAAGGCTTTCTAGTATTTGAGAAAAGTTGGGACACTTACGGGTGAATTTATTAACTTCCAGAGCTGCAGGAAAGCTGTAGTTCAACCAGTTTTCTTAAACTTAGACTTATTTTTTAATAAATTTACACATTTTTCTTTTCCTTTTTCCTTTGCTGGTGACCTGCTGACCTTCGTACCATTCAAGTTTATTAGAAATTTAAATAATGAGGGTGCCCTAAATCATTTGACTGGTAGGTTGTATCCAAGCAAATTAAGTAACTGTTTGGCTGCAAACATTTATTTTTATATGATATATATTTTTTAACAGAGATGAGAGCTGGCATGCTTTAATGCCAGGCCACATACTGCACACAGTAACGACTGAGACAGACATGATGTGATTCAACACCAAACAAAGACACTCAGATGAAAACAGTTGTCAATTTCAAGATTCCTCTCAAAACGAGTTGTTTTCATTTGCTCGCATCATAAGAAACAGAAACGTGAGGAGAGATGAAATGTGAAGATAACACGTGACACTACGGGCAGACAGTGAAAAGGACTGAGATCCTACAGAGCTAAAATCAAAAGAGGACTGAAATGAAAGAGCAAACCTGATTCGAGGCGGCAGATTCAGCGAAAGGAACATTGGTGACTGGGGTCGAGGCCGACGAAACAGTGGAGGTGGTGGCACCGTGCATCATGGGAACTTTTATTCGGGCGAGTCAGACGAAAGACAGAGGACGAGGATATGGGCGGGGAGGAGGGAAGGGGAGGGGAGGGGAAGGGAGGGGGAACAGGAATGATATGGTTACCATGGCAAAATGTGTAGGATCAAAAGTCATGGCACAAGTCAAGTGATATTGCCAGGATGAATTTGAACAAGTACCAGGACACATGCAAACAAAATCAGAGATAAAAGGGGAAAAAAAATACATATTTAAATAGCTGACAGGATACAAAATTAAAAAAAAAATTAATTGCTCACCAACAAAATGGCAGTTAAACAAACAAAGCAATACACAGTCATACAATCTAATCAGACTGGAGTATCTGATAATTGTATTGAATGGACGGAGCATGTGTATGGAAAGAGCAAATGATCCATAAGAAATACTTTTATTCCTTTCGATTACAATGTAAGAGAAATCCTGAGAATTTAGTAATTTAATGGCAATCATATTTTATCGTTGCTCTGAAGTCCTGAGCTGAAGGTGCTAAAGACTGAAAGTACTGGTCCATTTTTATCCTCATTTGAGTCGCTTTTTATTATTATTATTATCATTATTATTATTATTATTACTAACTAAACAAAAGGCACTGGAACAAATCAAAGTTTAGTTGACTACTTGCAAAGGCCAACAAGTCTGAAAACAGCACACATGCTGTCTAAGATGTATAATACTATTAAGATTCTCAATTGGTGTGTGTCAGACCAACCAAACTCACATATATGAACATAAGCCTGAAATATGTACACAAAACATGCACTGTGCTATTGTCCATCATCATAAACAGCACAGCTGTGGCTCTGCAGCAACATTAGAAAGCATCTCTCACACCCAGAGGCGATAAGGTCATCGTCTCACTGCTCCACAGAAACATATAGTTGATTCATACCTTGAGCTGGAGTTTTTCAGCATAAACAAGAACTGAATTTGTCACATTTAATCTAATATGTTGCTTTTAATTGCACTTTTATCAATGTAACTTTAAAAGGGTTTTTTTTATATTGACTTTGTATTGTCTCCGGCATGATCAGTTACTTGATTGTTGTGTTTTCTTTGACCTGTCACCCTGGACAGGATGTGCACTTCTGTAATCTATGGCAGGATGCAGGACAGTGACAACATCCACTTGTGGATTCATTATACAATAGATCGGCACTGTGACACTCAAACTGGTGTTTTCACCCCAGCTTCTTAATTATAGCTCGACTGAGGACTGTGAGGATGTATACACTGGGATTAATGTCGTCATACATGAAGAGTAGGGACACCAAACACTGTTATTGCTTTTATGTTCTATTTGTACATTTAGCAAGTAGGAAGGATATAATGAAATTATGTTTTTTTGGTTGCATTGTGAGAAATGTAGTAGTCAGAAGTTTTCATACACTCATCATTGTGGTCATTTTGGGCTGGTAGCTTCTCTTTGCTCACTCACTGGATTGCCCAACACAGAGCTACACCTGCTTGTTGATGACTGCTAAAAGCATTTGGTTGAGGTGGAATCTGTTAAGGAATATTTAACCAAAATATTAGCGGGTTTGTTATGTGTATATAACTGAGAGTGTCTGTTTACCTGTGTGGATTAGAGCAAATCCCCAATAAATTCAAACTTGTGCAACAAATTCTTGTTTTTTAAAGCCATTAAAGATCTATGCTGTGCAGGTTGAAATATGACCCTTTTTAATTCATTCCATTTCCATATGCTTCCCTGAGCTTGGCACTACAACATTTTTAGGACATTTAAGCATTGTTAAAAAGGGCATCAAATCAATCTGATATCCAAACCAAAATCTCGATATCTTTACTGCATGTAAAGAAAACCCCCCAGCTCATTCTGAGGGGATCGTGTGGAAGGCTCTGATTAATTTTTCATGCAACCATACCCATGTATTGACCCATATATTGCACTAAAGTGAGACTACCTCTTCTGCTTAATTTTTTTTTTTATATTTTCAAGTGAGGTAAGCAAAAGCACAAACAAAGTTTCCCACCGTTATAGAAATGCAGTCTGCTTCAGGCTGGAGACTAAAGTGGACAAAATTCAGCAAAAGAAATCCCCAAAAACAAAACCAGAGAGGGACTCGGACCACCCTGAAAAAGTATTTTACTGCAATTTATAACAGCAAAGACACATGAAAATATTTTGCTTCTTTTTTTCTTTTATGTCAAAATTATTCTCCAAATGTATTAAATTTACGTCCTAATATCAGTATGTATCACTGGGAAATGTAATAAAGGTGGAACTGAAGTTAGGAAACACACACGCGCAGACGTATGCATGACTAAACATCTTCTGCAACTTTTTGTGATTCTAATCTACCAGATTTTCAGTTCAGATGGACTGACCGAGTGAATCGTGTATCTGTGCTTCTCATCACTGTTGGTATCCCTAAACTATCTGAATAGAAACCCTGCATCAGTCTGCTGCTGTTCCACGGTTATGTAATCCTGAACAGCATTGACCTCAGACATAGTCTAATCCTCCATGGTTAAACTACAATATTCTGATATTTCCGACATCAGTTTAGTGAACATTTGTTTCGTGCATTTAAAAGAAAATCTGTAAAACCTTCCTCTAAACCAGCTGGCACTTCACTTCAGCCCTGAAGTGAGCTTCTGGAAGCTCTAAGGAGGGTGGTGCAGGTGGGGTCCTTGTGTGGTTAGCAAAAAAAAGGAGGTCCCTTAATCTGTGAGTACAGACACTGACAGGAAGCTGATGAGGTTTTTTTTCCACTCCCTGCTTTCCCAGCAGTCTGAGCTACCGGAGCTGGCACAGTTCATGTAAATCCAAACGCTTAAATGATTAAACACTTCCACTTAAGACTTGTTTGTTAAACTGGATGGAGAAAATCAGTGTTCGACTTCAGCAACGGAGAATAGTCGGTTCTCATTGTCAGGTCATCCAGTAGTTTGGTTTTGATTAAATAACGCATAGTCCATGAACTATGCTGCAAATAGAAAGTCATCGTCCATGTAACACTTCCAGGTTTAGGTCTGTCTGCTTTTGAAATTTCATTCCCCTAAAGAAAAACCGTTTCACATAAAACACAAGAAGCATGAACTTGAATCCCTGCTAATCAATTCTACTGCACATGTACGAACTACACAATTTATAGTTAACTGGGCGAAACATGGTCACCTGTATGGTCGTGCAGGCCTCTGATTAACACACCAATCCTACGGCTGGTAACATTTTTACAAACACGTACATAAAACAAGAAACAGATGACAGCGAAAGTTAAGACGAGAGAGCAGACAAAGGTGTGCCCACAGGTTCAGGTTAGAGCAGGGAGCACAAGCAAGCAGCATGGAGTTAGTGCACAATGTGTACCGGCGCACAAAAACACACTGATGCAAGCTGCTGGTAAAGTGAAAGTGCAAACACCTCAAATCTCTAAATGCTGTAGTGAAGAAAATGGCATTCAAGTATCGAGGAATAAAAACTGCATGCCAAGTGTGTATGTGCACATGTACTATCCTATTGGTCAAACGTCTAGGTTTTGCTATGCTTCTCTGTTTAGTTGGTGATAGTAGCTTTGTCGTCTCAGTTTAATTGTAATTAAAAAACTTTATTTTAGTGCCAAATTTGCTTCCTTGGTGCAGACACTTTTATTTTTACTTCCCCGCATTCCCTCCAGACTTCCTGGAGAACGTAACAATCAGCAGTCAAGCTGAAGGTGATTATCAACTCCACCAGTAAACCCGAGGTGTCTTCAATCTATCTTGGAGCCGGTTCACATGAAAGAGGTGGTGTTGGCAGCATCTGACCAATCACAAACATGGCAGCAGAACAGCTGATTTTACAAAGGAAGACAAAGCTACAAAAGACTGGAAAAAATGCTACAATAGAAAATGTTTAGGTTAACTGACTTGTCATTATCAAAGCTCAATCATTAAGGCTCAATAGGATCTGACATATTCAGAAATCTGCACAAGACACTTGTAACCTTATTCTTTGAGCTGCAGCCCCGGCTGTGTAAAACCGTCTGAGAGCAAGGACAGAACAATTAAAAAACTGAATTGAAACCAGTAGGTGTGCAGATTTTATGAACAGTCAGTAATAACGAGTATTAAGTGTTCAGTTTTAGGATCAGACATGATTTTAAGCCTTGCAGAACAAATGAAAATAAATAAAATGGCTTTAAAACTGCTTGCTAGATAAAAATGAACATTAACGTTGCTCTTAAGGATCTATATTTCTCTAAAGCACGGCCTTCTCCTACCTGGATATTAAGGTCCACCTGTTTTTCCAGGACTGATGATGGCATTTTCCTGAGAATTGGTTAGTGACTCAGCGGTTGTTTCCTACGTGCAGGTTAGGTTCGCAGCTTTAGCTGCCATAGTGACTAATGAACCACCTTTGTGACTCAAAACTCTAAGTTAAACCTGAACCTTGCTAAAACCCTAATCCTGCTTTGTGGTTTAGGCCTTTAATGTGTTTGTCTCTTTAAGCTGTGTCCTCTGACTCTATGGCCTCATCACAAGCCAAGCAAGAGTGAATCCAAATCAAGCAACACAACAGACAGTGGAACAGAAGAGAAGCGTCACACAGCACAGAAGCCCTGAACAGACACAGCAACTTCTTCGTCCTACAGTTCTCCACCTTTGTGTTTGTGTGCACAGGCCACTTCTTGGATTCAAGGTTTGAGGGTGTATGAATTCAAGGGACCTCCTACTGGTGTTGCTAAGGTTTCCAGAGACTCACCAGTGGGGATAAAGGCTGGTTGCTGGAGCTGCATGTTAGCCAGGGCTTGCTGGTAGTGGAACATGCTGGGATTGAAGACGGTGGCAGCAGCTCCGTTGCTCTTCTCTAAGACAGGCCTCTTTGGTAGCGGCTGCACAGCCCCCGGGGGCAGACCCTGGCCATGAAGAGAAGGATATGAATGAAAGCAGTGGTTATCTTTCAACACAGGTAGTGATGGGTGTACAGAAAACACTCTCCCTGGAACAAAAAAAACAAAAGTAGATTAATCTGGTGTCATCTCAGGGTGAATATAAACTTTACCATTAAGATTACGTGGATGCTTTTTACCACCACAAGAGGGCACTGCAGTATCTAAGATTAACTGAAGTGATGTAAGGACAGCCCAGAGGTCAGGCCAAGAGCAAAATGGGGCTTCTATCATTTCATCTTCTAATGGGGCCGGTGCTGAACCATCAAAATGCTATGGAAGATAACCAGGATATATAGGTATAAAACCTTAACACACAGGCCATTAATGTGGGATGTGGCTGAAGCAGGAGTATGTTTGAATGACCCCACCTGATCTACAGAAGTAACACAGCAGCAATCCCCTTCTTTACTGAAGTTAAAACAATGTTACAAGCTAAAACCAAAACCAAATTACCTAGAAATGATCTTTCTAAGTCCTTTCACTTTAATGATTTGTATCTTCTTTCAGTAACTATAGATTACTCACATCGATGGCGTTAGTCATTACAGGCAGCTTCACTCAAAATAGTGAACGATATGGTAGAAGCAGTTCGATCTGAAGCAGGATATTATGATCTTACATTGTATCATTGAACAATATAGCACCGGAAAGGAAAATCTGCTGCTGGCAATACAGCCTGGACTTGACGTGACATGAATTGTCCTGTTTTTTACTGCAACTTGGACACTAATTTCAGTGATAAGTGTTTTGTATGTGGAGCACATATGCTGTCAAGAATCTTTGGCAGGGAAGCTTTAGAAGAAGCAGCAACTGTTGTACTCAAATAATCTTCAAGAACCTGATAAACTGAAAATTGTAGCTTCAGGAACACAAATCAAGAGAATAACATAGAATAACAAACTATTTTGTGAAATGCTGTTAAACAGCAGATACAGTTGGGTCCATAATTTGTAGTTTTGTATAAACAACTACAGTCGATTTTAAATCAAACAATCGAGATGTGATTGAAGATCAGATACCATCCATCCATTTTATACTGCTTATCTGGGTTCACGTCACGGGGGTAGGAGTCTAAACAGACAAACCTGGACTTCCATTACCCTAGGCAACACTTCCAGCTCATCCAGGGGGACACTAAGTCTTTCCCAAGCCAGCCGAGATATGTAATATCTCCAGCGGGTCCTCGGTCTGCCCCGGGCCTCCTTCTGGTAGGACATTAAATCATTCAAAAGGAGGCATCCTAGTCAGATACCCAAACCTCCTCAACTGACTCCTTTCGAGGTGGAGGAGCAACACTTCTACTCTGAGATCATCTCGAATGACTCAGCTCTTTATCTTATCTCTAAAGGAGAGCCCAGTCATCCTTCAAAAGGAAACTCATTTCCGACACTTGTATCTCTGACCTCATTCGTCTGGTCCCTACCCAGAGCTCGTGACCATAGGTGACCACAGGTGAGTGCAGGAACATAGACAGACCGGTAAATCCACAGCTACGTTTTTATGCTCAGTTCTCTCGACCACAACAGATTGGTACCAATCCAGCCCAGTCATCAGCAGGTGAGGCCTGTTTCCTTGTTACTTCATAAAAAACTTCACTTTAATTTTAAATATGAGACCCAAAGAGACGTAGAAAAAAACTGGAAAAATCAACAACCTGATCCATTCTTAAAAAGAAGGAATACAGTGGCCAGCTCAGCAACACCAAATGATAACAGAATGATTTCCACGATTAAGAAAAACAGCTTCCCAACATTTAACAAAGTCATGAACTTGCTCGGAAAGATAGACGTATCACTGTCAAGGTGTACAATCAAGAGAATGCAAACCACTGGTTACACTAAAGAACAAAAAGGCCCAAAAAAGTCTGCAAAGTTCTAGAAGTTTTATTTTGTGGGGGGATAGATAAAGCTGCCAGGAGCAGAGGTAGTGAATGTGGATGAGTTTAAATACCTGGGGTCAACCATCCCAAGCAGCAAACACACAAAAGATGTGAAGAAGAGAGCGCAGGCAGAGTGGAGTGGGTGGAGATGAGTGTCAGGGTGATTTGTGGCAGCAACAGTGAAAAGGGAGGTTTACGAGATGATAGTGAGACCGGATATGATCTTTGGTTTGGAGACGATGGCACTGACAAAAAGACAGGAGGCCAGCATGGAGGTGGCAAAGCTGAAAACTGTAATTCTCAAAGCGCTGATGCAATTTTTTTGTAAAACCCCTAGAAATGAAAGCTGAAAGTCCAAACTTCAATTACATCTTGATTCAACCCAGCAGTGCTATTAATTAAACAGAGCAACAAAACAAAAACTGTATCCGTGTCCAACAAATTATGGATTTAGCTGTATGGCAGAGGTTGGCTTGCTTTACAGTTGGCTTACACGCATGTTTTTCTTCTGAAAAACATGAGAATATTTTAATGCTTATTTTTGTTAAAAAGTACAGAGACACAGTGTCGAGGACGACTCACCAAGCCTGAGGACGGGGTGTTTTGACCGGCTTGGTGCTGTGCAGCCTTGATTCTGGCCTGCAGGTGAGCTGGAGGGTGGAAGTACTTGCACTTGTCTCGGCTGCAGCGGCCTTTAATATAGTCCATGCAGACAATGACCGAGTTCTCGTTGCAGTCCACCATGCCCGCCTCCAGGGGGTGAGCGTAGCGGCAGTCGTTCTCACCTCGCGTGCAGTTCCCGCGCTGGAATTCTCTGCAAACCTGGCGGGGCAGGTGGGAGCACCGATCAACAATCACCTTTCAGCGTTTTTCCACAAAACATAGAAACACAACAACTGCACGCTGGCTGCATACCTCCAGCTTGTCTGTGCGCACATGTTTTTGTGCGGAGGTGCCATTTCCCATGGCTGCCAGACCGGTAGGACTCCCGGGGACGAGCAGGGGAGTGCTGGGCAGCAGCTCAGGCATCAAACCCATCGCTGGGCCCATGTGGCTCAGATATGGACTGAATGCCATGCTGGGACTCGTTGCCAGAGAGGGTGTCACTGGGAATGTTGTCTGAAAGAAAGAGAACAAGAAAGAGACAATTTATGGCAGAGCTTTCAATAGGAGGCTTGAAGTGCTTGACTGCCAGCACTGCTTTTTACAGGAATAAGAACAATGCAGCTGCCTAAACAACTTCTACAAGCATGAAAAAAACAGCTGAGCAGGCAGAATACATAAAAGACTTTCAATGTCACTTGAGATTCTGCAAATTTTTCCTTGTACAGTAAGAAACTTTGGCTTTCAAACACTTTTTAAAAACAAAAAGGCTCTTTTTATTCCCTATTTCATGTATGTAAGAGGACAGAAATAACCAGCATTGATAGAGTGAAATATTATTCTACTCCTTGTTGTCTGTTTAGCGCACATCTTGCACACGGCACGGTGTTTTGATGACTGCATTACTGTAGAGTCATAGTTTAGGATGGGCTGCTCACTATGGGCTGCAGTTGTGTTCCAGGCAGCATGAACTGCATCTGCTGAGCCAACATGGCTGCCGCGGCCTTCTGCTGGATCAGGTTGTTCCTCCCATTGATTTCCAGCTGGGTTTTCAGGTGCGGAGGTGGGTGCAGGTATTTGCAGTTCTCGCGTGTGCAACGCCCCTGAAGAGGAGAGCGGAGACAGGAAGGATGAGCATAGAAGCTTTAAGCAGGCAACAAAAACTCACTCCCACTCAAAAAATAATTAAATAAATAAAAATCACCTCTTATCACAGCAACCGATTCAAGTTTAGCAGAGGAGTCATCCATATAATCAAGTGTAATTTGTTACACTAAACATCAAGGATCTAGTGTGCTTTCAGAAGAGTCCTAATGACTATGCCTTATAAATTTTGGTGAATAAAGTACTAATGAAGCCCCAGAAGAGCTTCTGCTGCATAATTCATGAGAAAAATGCAACTGCTTTGTAAAAGAGTTCTGACGAATATTCAAAGGTGGGTTTTTTTTAATTTCTCAGGATATAATCATTTCATTTTGTCATTAAGTCATTTTTTGAGGCAATGTGAAACGACAGGTGTTGTATTTGAGCCAGCTTTGGATTTTTCCACAGCAGAAAAATAAACTAAAGTGACAAGCGATAAAGCTGGAGGCTGATAACACATGCTTAACTCTCACCGTCCTCTATGATAGAGTCAGTATCTCCATCGGGAAGATATCAGCTCAAAAATAAAATAAAATAACCTATTTTCTGAAATAAGGGAAAAACATTGCAGTGCATGAGTGAAAAAGCAAAAGCAGTCATTACTGGAAAAAATAAACTCACAAGCCAAATTTGTACATTTTGACATAACAGAGGGAAGGAGATATGAGTCCCCTGGGGGTTGTGCCAGGAAGGGTATCCGGCGTAAAAATCTGCCAAATCAAACATGTGGAGCTACCTGCTGTGGTGAGCTCTTGTGACAAGGAAGCAGCCGAAAGTGGCTTTGATATAACAGATGAATTGATACAGAACAGCATCAGCCAAAAAAAAGCTGGTCTGCAAAGAATCATGATATCTTCAAGAAGCATTTCAACTATGAGTTAACTGTACATAGGCCTATAATTCATATATGCAGACTAGATTTATAAAGTAAAGTTGGGAACCAGTCCTTACTAATTATTAATTTCTGTTTGTGATTTTTCTTTTCTTTCTAATAATATATTAAAAAAAAGAAAAAAAAGAAAAAAAAAGAAAAATCATAGATACGATAATCTACTGAACACAGAGACACATCCATCAGTACGTGAGCTTATGTAATAAGCATCTTTATTTGTAACTGATTTCCTATTCTTGAATTCTAGCCTTGGTTAAGAAAATAGCTGCAAAATTTGCTGGGTGAGTTTATTGAACGTCACCTGGACGTTCATGTTGGGGTTTCTAGCAATGTAGGTCTGTACCAGAGTTGTTTTATATCAGTCTTTTAGTAATAAGAACAAAGGGAAGTGAATATACCATTTTTAAAGTGAGAGAAATGAAAAAATTCTTTCAAGGTAACAATGTTTCCAGCAATGTTGTGAACCATGTTATTGTAAATCAACCACGAACTGCCAGTCAAAAAGAACACTGTGTATAGATTTAAACCAAGTACACCTGACCACAGCACCTGAAAAGGCACAAACCTACCAGGGACAGAAACTGTTACCGGGAGGGTTGCTTTTGCCAAGCCTGTGCCATCACCAGAAGCAGTGTAGGTTACAAAAGCAAAGCTCAGCCAGCACATAAAGAAAAAGCAGCCTGTTTTCCTGTGCAGAATCACCATCCAGTACTCTTTGCACTGGTTTTCACTGAAACTGCTGCAGTGGTACTTTAACAGATTGCTTTGTATAAGGAGTAAATAAGTCAAATAATGCATTGCTTTAAAACAAGCATTTACAATTGATAAGCTGATCTGAATGATCTAAAATCTGCCAAGCACTTTGATTGATCTTCTTCATCTAAGTTGATTTAGCTTTAAGTAAACTTAAAAAGGCTTTATATTGGGTTAATTCTAATTCTATTTATTTAATTAAAATGCAGTTTAAGTTCCACTACGGCACATGAAACCAATGTGCTGCACGGTGGGTTTATAACTGTTGCTAATTCACGACCCTTGTCCCTTGTTGGGCTTTTACATTCACATTTTACAACATTCATAACATAAATCAACATATATAAAACCACAATAAACTATAAATACATAGTGTAAAATATAGTGTAGAAAAACAAAGAATTAATATAATTTCCAAAAGTATTGATAATTATAAAATTATAATATAGTTATTTAAAATGACTACAGCTCTGATTTACCACTAATCCACTCTTGACCTTTATGTTAAACATTTTATATCTGTAAATGTGCTTCACAGATTATAATCTTTTATGCTAATTGTCCAAATTTAGATGCGCAATGTGGTATTACTTGTGATGCCTCTAGAAAGAATCTTTGAAGTCAGTCATTAAGGAAACATAAATGAATGAAACTCGATTCATTTCTTTACAATACTACAATGATGTCACAGCTGGCTTTTTATCCATAATTTTCAGAGTGTGATTGGATATTTTCACAACTTTTCTTCTTTAATGTGCCATTTCTAATCAACAGAAATGAAAATGTCAGGGGCTTTATATTAAAACAAACATTTCCAAATATTACACAGCTCTGCATTATCATGGAATAGAAATTAAAAGATTATTAAATTGGATAAACATCGCAGGACACCGAAATGCCAGCTCCAGTTCTTTTTTTTAATCTGATCATCTAATGAGACTACAACTCAGCTGGTTCTAGCTACACTCTGTAATCAATGCCATGGATTTACAGATGCAACTGAGGATAATCTCATTACTGCACAATACGTGGATATTTTGAATTTATCATCTCAGAAAACTGGGAAAAATTAAAGTCATAAATTACCAGCGAATCTTATCCTGCATCAGCAGCCGTGGCCAAAACCCGTTTTGATCAGAAGTCATTCTTCATGCTCCTTTTTACTTGTCATTTCTGGCTTTTTGACAAACTCTAAATCAGATTTGGATCCATTTATCTAAAAGCAATCAATTTGGCCCAGAATGCCGTTAAAGCAGTGTCCTTGCTCCCTGGCAGACTGTGGGGAAGGTGAAGATGGTGCTGCAGGAACACTGCAGGTCAACGCACACTCAGAGGAGAAACTGCAGTCTTCATTAAACCCCTGGGCTGACAGCATCTGTCTGCTCCTGCAGATGAGTCGTTAACCCGCTAAACTACCTCCGCTGAGCCTCGGCAACATGCTCTGTCATCAAACCACACCCACAGAAAGTCCCTCGCGTTAGGTGATCACGAGCAAACCAAGAGCACTAAAGCAGAGGACAATAATACAATCTGAAGACAAGCTGACGTCATGGTGCAGAGGCTCTGATTGTGATGGATAACATGCTGAGATGAGGGCACATAAAAAGGGTGTTAGCAGCAGGATAACTCTATAAAAATAGGGGGAAGCCGCAGTGTCTCTTCACCAGCATCCACTCACACAACCTCACACAGCAGACAAAAAAGCACGAGAGCACACAGCAACGCAGCCGCCTGAAAACCGGTCGTGATGGTACACAGGCATATAAAAACACTCTCGCCTACACCGGAGCAAGCTTTGCGTCAGCAAGCTGTGTGTTTAGGGATGAGACTGTAATGAAGAGAGAGTCCCATGAGCCCAGCATGCCTGCTCCAACTCAGAGGGAAAGAAAAGTATCTATTAATGAATCTAATGGTGCATTGACGTTATGCATTGCACGATCCAGACAGAAACACAAAGAAATAAAGAAAACTTTGATACAAAACCTTTATGAAAGCTGTGACATCTGGGTTAGAGAAAGAGGCCAATGAATAGCGGTGCTGAGGAGAGTACTAGGTCAGGAATCTCCTTTTGGTAGCCATGGCAACACACTACACAACACAGAGAAAGTCCCTGTTTGTACAGTAGTGTGCTGCTGATGCGCAGAGAGAAGAGAGAGCTAGTACGTCGATAAAAAATAGATCACAGCGCAGCTCTACTCTGTGGCACACAATGACAGAACTGCACTGTAAACAATATTAACATGAAACACAACTGATGCTTTCTTTCAGTTAAAGACGACCTGTTACGCTCATTTCCACCACTTTTTTTTATTCTTGGACTCAGCTAGAGTGGCCTTTGCATTGGTTGCCAGTTCAACATAATCCATCTTCTGATTGGCTGCTCTTCATAAACACAAGGTTAGAACACCAGATAAGTGGAGCTGTCCCTCATGTGGCCCAACATAACAATATTAGGGATATCGCAGTGATACAAACACATATGTAATGCCAACATTGCGTTTCTTGCTAAGTCTGGTAAGACTGCAATAATACTGCTCTGTATCTGCAGAATAACCAGAGTACATGGAGACTTTTCTGCATTAATATCAAACATAAATACTATGCATTTTACTGATGTAACTATGACATCGTTATTAGATTATGTTGGCAAATCCAACTGTTTAGAATATCAGTGTAGCATTCACAGTGGTATTTGGTAACATTGATGCGATGAGGGCCTGGTCTTACGTTTTTACTTACTTTGTTGTGTAAGTTCTCACTAACATCATGCAAATGAAAGAATAGAAACAGCTGGACATATCTACCACGAATGTCGTTACCCCCCGGGCCGGTCTTTTCAGCTGGTCTCAGGGTTTTGAGTAATTTTTAAGTTTAGGATCCTTGCTTGTTTTTGGAGGTACTCTCAGTTTGATCATTCCAGGGTTTTTTCATTCTTTATTTTGTTTATTGCTAAACTTTAATTTTCAGTCATTCCTTCGGATTGTAAGGAAACACTTCTGGTGATATTTTAATTCTAGTTTTGTAGTTTGTATTTATGATATTTTATTAGTCCCCTCGGTGTTTCAGTGTTGGCATTTCCCTGTTTCACTGTTATTCATTTTCTGTTTTACTTTGGTGATCATCTCTTTCCGTGTTAAACTTTTAGTTTAACTTCCCCTCCTGACCCATTGTCGTTGATTGTCTTCACCTGTGTGATCACTCTTGTGTTGTTACCCTCTTTCATTCAGCTCTCTTGTTACCTCAAGTGTATGAATAGTCCAATCCTTTACTTTAGTCTTTGTCTTGCTGTCTGTTGATCTTCCTTTGCAGTCACCATTGTGTACTCCTGCATGACTTTTTGACTTTGCTACTTTGTTTATGAGTTGTGTACTTCCCTTATTATCTCTTGTATATAAATAGTCCGGTCCTTCTCCTTAGTCTATGTCCTGGTGACTCTTAATTTTCCTGCGTATTCACCATTGATTTCGATTTTGGTATATCAGCTTAAACAAATGGCTTTTGGTCTGCCTCCTGTTATCCTGCCTCAGTCCTCACCAGTCCTACAATCCAAATTCATAACAGTGAAGTGAAACCACACTCGTGATTGACAACTTATTAACTGATTAGGATACCTGGATAATCCTCCTTTGTGAAATTTAGAATGACCAAAATTTACAAAATGAAATTAATATTTTATTCAGTGTGGCCTGAAATAAGTGACTGAGCCCATGAAATCCTCGGAAAAATATTCCCAGAACTGTTCAACCATATATATGGCCACCTGGTGGCCGTCAAAAAGTTTAATGTCAGTTTAAGAAATTTCCTTACTGGCTTTGCTTTTCAGATCAGGAGGTAATGTCCATCTTTTATATTGGGTCTGATTGAACCATGAACCTTGGCTCAGACACATAAAAAGGGTGTTAGCAGCACCCAAATATTTTGGGGTATTGTTGGTTTTTTTGGACAAAAAAAAAATCGATTTCAAAGAAGAATTTGGCTTTTAAACTTGGATATTTTCATGCGCTTCACATTAGGTTAGTTGACCACAAAGATTAGTTCCTAAATCTAAATTGCATAAAATGTTGTTAGCTGCAGTCCTTCGATGATGTCATTCAAAGGTGACACTGCTATTGAATCATCTTTAGGTTGAAAAGTAGCATGGTGGGTAGATGCAGTGCCTACATTAATCATTTGAGATGACAGCAGCACTCCAGTTAACAAGGTAAAAAGAACTAGGCGGTGGGTTCAGACCAACCAGACAGAGCTAATGGAGGAGCAACAGAGAATGACAGCGGTCGGCTTGGGCCGGCATGGAGATGCCAGATATGGGAGGGATGATGAGGAGGGAAGCCATTAGAAATGAAATTAACAAAGGAGGGAGGGGTGGGCGGGGAGCAGGAGGAAGGAGCGATGCTGTAGAGCGGCTCTGCCTGGGACAGCGCGTGACGCTTCCTTGTTTTTTCTAGTCAGTCGACTGAAAGCAACAACTGTCAGCTGAGCACAATCCCGAACAACAACGAAGACAGAAACACTGGCATAGAAAAGATGGTTTCACACTCTGTGGCGGCACTGCATGTTAAAACCATCTGATCTGACCTTCGTCACCAGCTTCAGCTCTCTCTCAGACTATCAACGTGACCCTGGAGCTTCAAACAGCCTCTTCTTCCTGTCAGTGAGACCAGTACAGGGCCAGGCTGTTGCTCGGTGCTAAAAACAGCCGTGCCACTCAGGAAGATCAAACTATCCAATGGGTATGCACTCCTGTGCTGTTGCTAGGCCCCCTCTCTCTTTCGCTCTCTCTCCTCTCCAACTCCCCCCTTCTCTGGAGGACATAACACAGAAAAATGGCTGAATAATAAATTCTAACTCAATAAACGAGGAGACAGCAGCTGCACTCAGACAGAAAGCCCCTTGTCCGAGTTTCACTTTTTCACTGAGGCAAAGCTGGTGGACAAACATGCATAGATCAACACGAATGCACGCGCACGAGTGGAGCAACAGTGTATTCTGGATTTTAGCATAATTGGCCATTGAGAGATGTAGCTCCTCTAAAATGCACCACGTTTCAGACTGTTTTTACACAGCGTGCGAGCAGCGCTAGTGTTGTGATTCTGTGGTAGAGGAGCGAGAGGGGGTTTGGAAAGCAGCGGCAGAGATGCTGGAGCAGTACAACCGACTAGCCCACATCAGAGGTGGTGGAGGAACAGAGAGCATCAGCTGAGCCGCTTTACGAGAAATTATGCCTGGTCCGAGCGGAAACAATAAATATCTGGAAAACCAGATGTCATTCCCTGGTTTATCTAGCTACAAATAAACACAGAATCTGTATTTAGTTATTAAGAATCATGCCTGGTTATACCAGTTATACCATGGCCAAAAAAAATCTGGCTGAAAGGTTTATGACCCAGACAGTAACCAGACACATGTTTTTTCACCTCTAAATCAATATGGTAACATTAAACTATAAGTTTTTTTTAAAAAAGACAGTATTTTACATGGAGACAGTAAAACGGCTAATTAGCTAATGTGCTTATTTGGGGGGTGATATTTGAGGCAGCCAAATGATACATAGTAATTCATAATCAGAAATAATAATTAAAAAAAACCTTTACTTTGTGATTTTCAGTTTAAAATATAAAGCTACTATCAAATGTCACCAGACATAACAGAGCTTTTATTGTGAAAATCTAGGCTACACCTAAAATTGAATGAAAGAGGTATAACGCCACATTATACGAAAAAATTCAGCTCTTGCTACTTTAAACTTTGATATTAGTTCAAGAAAAGCCAAAAAAGTATCCAAGTAAAAAAACCAAAAAAACCAATAACACACAAACTTTTTTGTTTTTTGATATTAAAGCAAGAATTGCAACTATATTAAGATATATTAACCCTGACATCTGAGCCACAGAGGAAATCACTAGTGCAAGATTATAGTTTTGCAGCTGATGACAATTTATATTAATTAAAACAATTCTGATATTAATACTGAATGATATTTTATAAACACAGGTATAAAATTGCACAGCTATGATAAAAAGTGTAAATGCTGGGGTTTTTATTAAAAAACGATCTATCCTTCACAAACTACCACATCTTTCACAAGCAATTCAATGTGAAGACACCGCCTGACTGCACTACGGTCTGTTCATGCTACTCTGCTGCATGTGCTGCAAACACTAATAAGACTATTTCTAAATTACTCCAAGCATATTTTCTCTATTATGTTCTTTGGGAAAGAATTATCATAAAGTTAAAAGTTATCATATAAAATGGCGCATGTAGGAAAAGGTAAATATGGTGTCTCTAATACATCTGTAATCGCTCAACATCAGCCAAGAAGCTGACAGACAGACAGATATGCAGAATGTATCAGCTGGGCTCTAATCTATTACAGGTATGGAAATGATTGTCAGCAGTTCCTCTTTATCATACAGTAGACTATCTAAACTACAGGGTGTTTCACTATCACAGGTTTTTCCTGGCTTCCCAGGCCTTTTGGAGACTAACTAATGTTAAGTACAAATAGATAAGAAACTGAGTCAGTGTTACTTCACTTAACAGAATATTTTTGGCATTTGTGAAATAAAAATATATTTTAGTCTTGAGTAAATGAAACTGCCACTCAGAATAACTGGTTAAAAATATTCTGTATCGCAGTCTCGGTGGTTTTCCTTTTTGGGGGAAAGGCCAAAATCCTTTTGGTGGCCCTGAATTTTCTTTCTTATATATATATATATATATATATATATCTGAACAGGGTTTTTTTGTACCTCAAAATAGGCCTTTGGCCACAACTTGTCACAAACAGTGAAAGGAAAGAGTCTTTGTTACCTTACTTACATTAAGTTTATGCACTATGCTGTTATTTCCGGCAATTCGATAGACGAAAACGTACTTTACAGTTAAGTAAATAACTCCCAACTTAAATAGCTCAAAAGAATTTTATTACAGTCTTGGTGATTTTCCCCTTAGGGGGAGGCCAGACGCTCTTTAAACCATGATGACGTGTTCTTATCTTAGCTAAATGGTGACAAAATAAAATATGTCATTTACAGCTGTTTTTCTCATGAATTAAAAAGGCCATTGTGGGACGTGAAAAGAACACACTTTTCCTTCATTATACAATTTTTTAAAAAACTACAGAAAAATGTTACTAAGACTTGAAATAACACACATCCCTATACTTTCCAGGCCCAGAATCACAGAGATGTACACTATAAAGATAAAATTAGAATATATTGTTAAGTAAAGTTATAACCAACTGACATAGTTTAATAGGTTTAAGGAGTGGACCACGCAAATCCTAACGTATCGCTACGTGATGTGTTTTTCCTGCTAAAGACGAGCAAACTCATTTGAAACACTGCACAAAATCCTGGTTTGTGTGTACGTCAGGATGTGTTTATATGTCATTCAGCTATATAATACTTCACAGAGCCAAAAGCCATTGACTAGCTTGACATGAAGCACAATGAATGTGTGGAAACAAACAAGCTGTATTAGAGCAGCGTGTCTGTAGCACAGTTACCTTGAGCGAATCAAAGCAGGCGATGACTCGGCCGTTCTCCACATGGCAGCTCCGTGAGGGATGTGCAAACTTACACTCAGCGTCAGACCGCGAGCAGGTGCCTCTCTGAAACTCACGACACACTTCCAAGGTCAGCCATTTGGTGTCTCGTCCCATGGTCATGCTGACAGCCATCAGAGACGCTCGCAGACGCTGTGCAGCGGCGGTGGGCAAACTGACGGAAAACTGTCTGATGAGAGCAAGGGTGACTAATGGTGATTCAAGACAAAAAATCCCCCAGCACAACACAGAGGAAACAGAAGCAAAAATATTTTCGGTTTCTCCTCAGTGCAAATAGGCAGCGAGTCCTTTTGGTTGGTGTATTTTGGGGGATGTTTATTAGTTCTTCCTGGGAAAAGTGGCAGCTGAAGTCTCACTGCAGTGAGATATATAGAGGGGCTTGACTGCGAGCAGAGGCCAGCTCTGTCTCAAAAATAAAAGGAAGAAAAAAAGGAAACTAATCTGAGGGCATCACTCTGGCATGTCGCTTGGATCGCAGAGTCGCCGAGTGTGTGCATTCACCTGTATCAGCCCGCTGTAAATCACCACTACATTCACGTCAACATGGCCAGGCTGGGGCATTCACTGTAGTTCTACTTTAGTTATATTTGGGCAGCCTGACAAGGAAACTAAAGATTTCTTTAGAGCAAAACAAAAAACAAGAACAAAACAAAAATAAAACAAAAAAAAAAGACAGACAGTCTTACACGGAGATGTCTTTGTAATGATGAGACGAAGTGGCTGCTCAGCTCAGGGTATGCTGGGACTGCAGCTCAGCAATGTGGGATGGATGACTCTGTGGCTGTCAGGATAAAATACAGCCTCCATTCAAGGCCAGACACACACCGTCCCGCTGTAATCCAGCAGACTCGGCAGACGTACCCTCGCAGTAGGCACTTTGGAGTTCCACTTCCTCCTCTTACTTCAGTCTCTTTCTCATCCCTCCTTGTCCGTTTCCTATTCTTCTGCTGTCATCCTCCTCCTCCTCCTCCTCACTGACCTCTCTGCTGCATGTCCTTGCTTGCTGCTTTGCTGTGGATTGCAAAAACAGAGGAGCGTTAACAAAACACCAGCCTGTTGAGGAGAGAACGTGACTGTAGAGCTACAACCTGGTGTGGAGTTTGTTTAAACGGAGGGCGACGAGGATCACGAGGCAGGGAGGGTGGACGCGAAACAGCCAAAGAGGAGAAGACGAGGGCAAACAAATAGGGTAGCAGGGAGGGAGGCAGCGGTGAACAGGAAAGGGCAAGCTACAGTATGTCTTGATTAAGTGATACAAGAGAGGGAGAGAGAGGGAGAGGATGGAGGGAGGGAGATTGCAGGCAGTGGAGACGTCACTTTAACTCCGGTGAGCTCCATGGAGCAGAAAGTAATTGACTAACTTGACATGATTCACGCAGAAACACACAGCGGATAGAGGTGTCCTTGAAGTGGCACAGGTTGGCACGCTGGTCCACACAGATGAGTGCCAGACAGTTATTAATGCGAGGGGTAGAGACAGGAAAAGCAGAGCCAGGGCAGAGAGAGAAGGGGTAGTTCATCACAACTGCAGCTGCTGTGCTCAATGCAGAGCAGCGGCCAATCAGGCAGACTCTTACAGGCAGGCAGGGCACGTGACTAACCAATGACAGAGCAGTTTAAAGCTCAGCTCCTCCCTTCACACAGCCTGTCCTTGTTCCTCTCTGATTCCCCCACCCCTCCTCACTGGTACAAGCACAGTCATGGCAGTCATGGCTGAGCCACATGCTAATATCCACGCTGTACAAGAGCCCTGAGCTGAAACCAGACAGCTCAGTCTTCTCACAGATGTGGAGGAGTTATCCAAACTGTGCACTCTGCTGCAGCATGATGCAAGGATGATGCATGCAGCCTGTTGTGCTGCTCACTCTGAAGGAGCAGAGTGACGTGTCCAGACACTAAGTGAATACAGATACTGATCAGAGAGGTGACACATGCACACAGAAGAAACTAGCAGCTTCTCAAGGGAAGAGGAGGTCCAGACTGCATTTTGGGGGGGACTTTTTAAAATTGTAAATTGAAGAGAAAGAAGACTATGCTGTTTAAAACCTGAGTGCATGTCCAATTAATTAAGAACAGAAGAGATGCAGGAGAGAAGGAGTGCAAAATAAAAAAACAAAACAGGGGAAGGAGGACAGGGCGTTGGAGCAGATATTATCAGTCCCTGCGTCTGATGGCGGTAGACACAGACGGAGGAAGCGACGAGGGGGGGGAGAATGTGAGGGAACGAGTGTGTGTGTGTGTGTGTGTGAGCATGCAGATACACAGCCCAGAAGGAGAACACTGCAGCAGAGTGGGAGACGGAGGGATAAGGGGGAGGTGGGAACTGAATTGATACACCCACCTTCAAACACAAGAACAAAGACACATCCCAGCCAAAAAAAGAGGAATGAGAGATGAGCAGGTACAGCAATTGCTTTGCTTGCTTTAACCACTCTGCTTGTCTGTGCCTCTTCTCTCCTCTCAGCCTACCTATAGATCGATAGAAACTTTTCTCAGGGGCACAAGGCAAGCACCTCCTCCTCCTGCAGCTCTGCCTGTCCTTCATTCAGGTCCACATCAGTGTCAAACGCCTCTGCTTACGCACATCCTGACGATGCAGCTCAGCAATATGCAACACACATCATCAAAATGCTCCTCAGCAACACTCCTCGCGCTCGCCACACCAGACACCAAATGGCGCACAGTTGCCGTTACAACCATTCTTGGAAAGCTGCATTGAAAAACTGGCTCTCCTCCAATGCCAGCCTAGTTTACACTGCACTGGGCAACTTTGAATATACACAGGAACAATTTTTTACTTCCTCATACAAGCTGCTGGGACTCTGCTTTCCTCAGTTTGCCTCTTGCCTCTATTGAGGCCTTTATGGATACAGCAAGACAAAGGAAACAGTTAAAAACAGAGAATTAAAGCCATGGAATAATGTGTAAGTGGGTTAAATGTGACATGGCCACTTGGGGGTGTTGGTTTGTTTGTTTTTTTACAGCATGGTCATAAACAGACCAGTGAGCGCCTGAGTTAGCAGACCTGACATTTTGCAAGTGATAAAGTAACTTTTATTAATTAGTTACTTATAAGTGGGAGCTGCTCCTACATCACCGAGCATGTAAATGTAGCTAAATGGAAAAGAACAGATGACTTTTACTGCAACCTAAGAGTATCAAATTATTCAGAAGTACTCTGAATGAACTGACAATCCTTTCCTTTCCTAGTGGATATGTGTGACGCTCTTCTTGCACGCTAATACTGTGAGCTACATGCAAAATACTGCAAAATTCCCATATAACCCTAACAAACTAGTACATACTTTAACACTGTAGGTTAGTGCACGGCTGTGCATGTTAACTTAGTAGGCACCACTGCCCAGTATCCTGGCAAAACATATGGTAGGGGACTATAGTAAGCAAACATGTACCTGCTCATTAATACTGTTGGAAATTTTAAAATGTCATCTTCATCAGAAACCACACATTTCTTTGCAGAAATTTCATGGCATTCATTCCAATAAGTGTTAAGCTACTTCTTTGTTGCCCTGTGATGGGTAGCTTTCCTGTAATAAGCTCCAACCACTTCACGGCCTTGAATTAGATAAGAAAGCTGGATGAATGGATGGATACTAGAGAGAGGACAAAAGGTGGATCAAGTCTGAAAAGTGAAGCTAATGTAAGAAGTGCCCGAAACCTGCATTATTTTTAATGGTCCATAGGGGACAACCTCTCTGGTTATAAAAAGACTTCTGGTTGTGTAGAAGCCTATGAGAAAAAAAGTGCTTGGCCAACTTGATCTATGTCCTCAGTAAACACTTTCCTATTGACTTTATTGAATAAAATTTTGAATTTAAAATCCATCTCATCACATGCAAGGTCCCGTTTTACCTCAAAGACCTCATAGTACCATATCACCCCAGTAGAGCTTTTCATTCTCAGACTCCAGGCTTACTTGTTCCTAGAGTACTTAAAAGTAGATCGGGAGGCAGAGCCTTCAGCTTTCAGATCCCTCTTTTGTGGAACCAGCTCCCAGTTTGGATTTGGGAGACATCCTCTCTACTTTTAAGATTAGGCTTAAAACTTTCCTTTGTGATAAAGCACATAGTCCCTCAGCTGACCCCGATCAGGTGACCTTGAATTCTCCCTTAGTTACACTGCAATAGGTCTAGGCTGCTGGGGGTTTCCCATGATGCACTGTTTCTTTTTCACTGACTATGTGTTAATAGAGCTCTTGTCATTTAATAATTAGTTATTATTAATCTTTGGCTCTCTTCCACAGCATGTCTTTTGTCCTGTCTTCCTGACCTCACCCCAACCGGTCATGGCCGAGGGCCGCCTCTCCCTGAGCTTGGTTCTTCCAGATGTTTCTTCCTGTTAAAAGGGAGTTTTTCCTTTCAACTATCGTCACTCATAGGAGGTCAACTGATTGTTGGGGTTTTCTCTGTATTTTGTAGGGTCTTTACCTTTTAATATAAAGTGCATTGAGGCGATTATTGTTGCTATATAAATAAAATCGAATTGAAAAACACTGAATTTATGAGCTGAACTGTAAATTATAATCACAACAACACACTTCAGCATCCGTTGGCCTGTTGCTGTTGGTAAACTGATGTCCTTTATGTAAAAAAAAGTAAAATAAATAAATAAATAAGACTGGTAGATGTTATGTATATGCTAAAAATGGGTCAAGCGTTATCCCACTGCAAGGTGGTTGCTAAGCAATGTGATGGCATCATAAGGTATCAAGCACAATTTATCTTTTGTATAGTAAACGTTATTGTGAAATAAAATGGATGGGGTATTTCTATGAGGTTTTACAGACACGTAAATGCCAAATATCAGGTCATTTTAGCCTGTTGCTAGGAGGTTGTTAAGCAACGTGATGATGACATAATATAGGGCATAGCCAAGAACAGGGGCTGGCAATACATCTTCCCAAGAGGCCACATGACAAAGCTGAGATTCTCGTGGAGGGCCACACCTATAATTTGAATTTAATTCCGCTCAATGTTAATTTTAGTTCTTTATAAGCTTATTGATGCGGCCCTCTACAACAGTGCCAGTTTCATATGTGGTTCCCTTAAGGAAAATCAATTGCCCACCCTTGGCTAAGAGCCTTCAGGGGCCTAAGATTTATCTGTTTTCTAAGTTTCGTTGCCCAACTCCTGATAGCGTAGAAAGACTTTGCAGACAAGGAAACAAACACACAGTCAGACAGACAGAGACTTTGTGTATTATAGTCAGATTATTAGAGTCGGAGAGGAGGATAATCCAGGACGCACCACGATCACTGGAATGAGCATGCACTGTAAGTGGTTTCTTTGTCAGACCCACACCTTTCCTCTTCATATATAGCTCTAAAACATCATGAAAACACTTGAAACGGTGTAAAATGGTCAACTGGTCAACCAGGACTCATTAACATACTACTGCAGCTGAAAAACTGTAATCTCTGTTAAAAATAGTTCAGGCTAATAAGACATTGACATATCAACAGTCTCAATATGTTTTTAAACACAGTCTAGAATTGACATCTACTGCTAAGCTGCTTTGTTGCAAAACCCGACCTACCACAATAGATCTGACAGGAGGAGACCACAAGGCACACGAGTCGAACAAAAAGCCAGTGAGCACGGAATGAAGGAGCAGACAGAGTGAAAGGGTCGACTAAGAAAAAATGAAAGAGAAAGAATTTGGCTTCAAAGGTTCTTACACCTAAATGCTGATCAGGAAACGTGGGTGTGATACTGCATACTTTAGTTTTATTAATGTTAATTATCTGCTCAAACACCACAGATAACAAAGTGCTGTTCAGTGATTAAACATAATATATCCAGGAAAGGGTTTATAATGTGTATATTAAAATAATAATGTCTTAATGAAGTGTATATATGCACAATTACATTGACAAATAATCCCATTTGCAATGTTGGGATACAATGACTTGCTGTTTAAAGACTAAAGCATGAATATAATGCTTATAAAAAGTAGATTATGGCCATGCTGACACACCAAGAGCTGGAGGTAATCTACCTTAAATCTGGTTGACAGATAAACTGATTTTAACTAATGAAACTAACTTTCTTAAAATACACTTCCTTGATCCTCTGATTAATTAATGATTTCCAGATAATTTTTGTCTTCATCTTTTCACTCATGTTGTGACTAAAGTTCATTTGGAGGCAAGCAATTCTTTATAGGTCAATTCATAATCAACATTGGCTTTTTCACCATTGTGGGAATGTTGGATTCACTTATTTTGCTTGTTAGCAAGCAAAGAAACTGCGTGCAGGTGAACAAAGGAAAACAACGTCAACATTTTTAGACTTGTGAAAAGAGAAACTAAAGTCTTCTAAGCAGCTCTGCTGGGAATCTGCAAAAGCAGCAGGCACGTTTAAGCTTCTGCAGGTCTGCTAAGGCCCGTCAGAATAAGTGGCAAATAAGACTGCGTGAGTTTGTGGACACCACTGCAAGGTCACAAAGAGTCAAACAACATGATGATTAAGGGCTTTTTTTAGATAACTCTTAAGGGGGAAATCTAATACTATATCATCTGTAGTGGGAACCAGAACATTGACATCATTTTGCACTTTTGCTTAAAAAATATTGATCAATACAAAAAAAAAAAGCTGCTGATTAGTTTTCTGGCAACAAATTACTTTTATTTATGTTTTCGGATGCGCATTTTAGACTTTTACAAAAGATATGGGGTAGAGGATGAGCCCACTACAATGAGGACTACAGTCGTCAGTGTGTGGGGTCACCTGCGCAACCAGGGCTACAGAGACGAGCCACGATTACTTTCTAATTAGAAAACTGATGATCTGCATTCCTGCTTAGTTAAAGTCGAGCTGAACAAACGAGTGTACTTTTTTTTTTACATAAATAATCTCAGCTGATGTAGCACAAACAGGTGATTACAGGGATGCAGCACGGTGAATAAATACAGACTGCCCTAGTTATAACAGTGATTAAACCGCTGCCTGTCCTCCAGGTTTCTGCAGCGAGCAGAGGGGCTCAAGGAGTCAGCAGGTGGGGGTCAACACGTAGGTGGCTTACGGATGGGGGAGGACTGACGCTGGCTGCTGTAGACACCAGCGCACTGCGTCCGTCATCAAACAGGGTGCACCGACAGCGTAACCTTCACCGGAGCTCTGACGTCTGCATTATGTCTGGCCCGTGGGCCGGCTGTCACCTCGACAGGCACACTAGCAGGTAGCCTAATACCAATAAAAATGTACGAGATACAGAAAAAACAATCCAGTGTTTCTTTTGCATAATGGAGCATTTTAGTGTTTTCCCCAGCGGTCCAATTTGAGTGGCTTAAAACTGACCTTTCTCTGCTGTTTTGTGTTTATTTTCAGTCGTTAAAAGCTGAGTGTTACTGGTTAATGCTGCGTGTTGACAGAAACAACAATAGAATAATAAAAGCAGAGTGGGTGAACTTCCTACATCTGATCATATATTAATGTTAGATTGAGCAAAAATGGCCTTTAACCAACCGGGGGAAGACCGTGTGGGATTTTTAAAACTGTACCCTGGAAAAAATGTTTTGGTTTCACACGAGAATCTCTGAGTTTCCTGTGGGAGGTTTTTTGTTTAATCTGGAGTTTCCTCATTCCCCCAAAGCCTGGTGATTTCTACTTCTAGAGGGCACAGGTAGTTATGAAACAAAATACCAAAGCTGTGAAAGCACATCACTTATCTGCAGGTTACAACCCAGCAAACAGACAGCTTTTTTTTATAGGAGTGCACACCAGGACAACCTCAATGAGCAGGTGATTGATTAAAAAAAGTGAACAATCCATAAATCAGAATGAGAGCAAAAGCCAGCAGCCAGGAGAGAGAGAGACGGAGCAGAGTAATTAGGTTAAGTATCAGTAATCCCTTCAGCTCATTAAAGCGCCACAGCTTCCATTCAAGCAAACTTACAACAAACCTATTTCATCACTTAGGACAACACCGATCATATTAGTCAGAAGCATGCAGCTCAGCTCGTCCATTTCACGCCCTTCACCAGTTTTGAATGAGAGAAAAACTCTCAGTTCACTTCCTTGTGTGGCTGCTTTCGATTGGAAGTTTCACATCTTTGCAGCGAGATAATAAAAGTTATCTATTTTACAGCCGAGACAGTAAAAATATTGTGCATCCCTGACTCTGCAATCGCTGCTACAGTGTCGGTGAATGGTTTTATTTGTGCCATAAAAGATGGAGGGCTGTTAATGTGTGTCTGTGAGAGAGGGGAAAATGAAAACAGGTTATGTGGGAAATGCAGCTGTGTGCACTCCTGTGTGTGTGTCAGTTTATCTGTATTTATATTAAGTAAAGAAAAACTAGCTAGACTGGTACAGAGTCCACAGCCTGGAGGGAGTGTGAACTTGTCCTGACAGGCTGCACTGTTAGATGAGTCTGATATGATGGCAATACATACACACACGCACGCACACGCACACGCACACACACAAGCACTGCATACAGTTTAGGCAGGGAAGTAGTGACAACACAGCGTCGCATGGTGGCTTGAGTGTCTGACCTCATACAGGACAAACAAGGACAAGGCTGGCCGCATGACAGCATAGATAGAAACCTGCAGGGTTTAATAGCTTTACAGTCGATATTACTGTAGAGAGGCTGACTCGGGGAGTAATTTAACACCGATTATTTTTAAAATATTTGGTGCAGTTCACTCTGGGGAGAACACAAAAAAAAATTAAAAAAAATTTGGACTTTAAATGTCCAATAAATTATAATTCTCCATACAAGCTAAAACGCTTTTCTCTGCACCACTTGTCTCCACACAGCGCATTGCACTCCTCTACCAGACATGCTCTTAAGAGTGCAAATACCTATAAACGTTATTACTACAGTGCATAGGTGTAAAACGCGGCGATTTACGCACGCGTTTAGCAATAACCGAGGCAGCTTTCACTGTCCACGCAACAGGCTGCAGTCAAACAGGGCACATTAAATGGCTGCAGCACGGGTTAAATACGAAACTCACAGTTATTACAAATGCGTCAGGCTGCGCCAGTCTCTGCGTGCTCTGCGCTCTCTTACCTGTCCAAGTGATCCGCCGGGCTCAGACGTCTCCTCCTAAAAACGTAACGTCGGCTGAAATGTTTGTTTGATCGTTGTTTTCTGTTTTTCTGCACAGACGGGGTGTAACGCACTCAGCATTGCCTTAAAGCGAGGAGAGAGAATTAGGGGAGGGAGAAGGAGAAAAAAGGAGGGGGACGCTTGCTGGGTGAAATAAAATAAATCTGAAGCGAGTAGAAAATTAAAAAAGCGTGTTGCCGCAGCGGAGTGAAAGGAAGAAGAAGAAGAAGCGGGCTCTGTCTACAGGGCAGCTCAAATGCAAGTGAACACAACACAGAGAACAGATTTGTAAAAAAAAAAAAATTCTGAGGGAGGGCAATGTGGAGAGGGAGGAGTTGGACGAGCGTGTGTGTGTATGTGTGTGTGTTTGTGTGTTTGTGTGTGTGTGTGTGCGTCGCTTACTTGATAACATCATTAAGGGAAATCAGAGTCACGACTGAAGGGAGGCAGGTATGAAGGTGGACCGCCATAACATGTAGCAGGTAGATAAAGCAAGCGCTATACGTGCATGTAGGTGACATCATATACATTCAGGTTCAGCGAAAGGCTTACCTGAACGATTCCCCAATATAATATAATATAATATAATATAATATTAGTGTCTAATGCTTGTGCTACACTACTGTGCAAAAGTCTTGAGCCACTTTAAAAAAAAAATTTGCTAGAAGATGGGAAATACTGTGTTTACGGCCAAAAACTATTTTTCCCAATTCTGAGGAGTTTAGGAGTCAATATCTGGTGTGACCACCTTTATTCTTTAACACATCCTGAACTCTCTTAGGCAAGCTTTCTCCTAATTTCTTTAAGCAGTCTCTACAAATAGTTCTCCAGGCGTTTTGAAGGCTTATTCTTGGGGTGTTGGCTGTCTTGTCTTCTGTTCTCTGTCAAAATGATCTTACACTGCTTTAATAATGCTGAGGTTCGGGCTCTGAGTGGAGCTATCCATAATTTACATTGTTCTTTTTTGTGTTTCTATCCTTTGATTTTCAGTCTAGTTCTTGTGTATTTTAGCCTTTGCTGGATTTCTTAAGGACATGACTGCCAAATACCATCTAAAAATTAAGTGGACAAACTAAATATATATATAAACAAACCTAAATATAGGTTTTGTTTTTAATATTTGGATGAAAAACCTTTACAGTCAAAGTCTGCCTGAAGTCTAGAACCCATGGACATCACCAGATGCTGTGTTCTGCCAGGCCTTGACTGCAGTCACCTTCAGTTGTTTTTCTGCATTCAGTTTTGTACTAAATAACTGAAAAGCTGCTCTGTTGGGTTGAGATCAGGTGACTGACTTGGCCTTTGAAGAATATCCCATTTGTTTGCCTCTTGGGTTGCTTTTGCTTTGGGTCATTATCCATTTGCACTGTGATCATTTTTGCAGCATTTAGCTGAGCCCTGAAGTACACTTCACAACTTAAAGCTGCTTCTATCAGCAGTCACATCATCAGTAAATATCATTGACAGGCTTTGACTAGCAGCCATACGTTCCCATACCATAATACCACCTCCACCATGTTTGACATGTGATATGCCACGCTTCAGATCGCAAGCTGTTTCTCCCCTTTTCCACACTTTTCTCTTCCTGTCATTCTGATACAACTTAGTCATTTCATTGCTTCATATATATATATATTTTTTTTCTTTTTTTTCTGAAGTGTGAAGGATCTTTTACATGTTTTTTCTTCTTGTGGCAAAGTCTAATCTGACCTTCCTGGATTTGATTGTTACTGGTAGTTTTCACCTTGCTGTAAATAATCTGTATTTACATTCTTGATTGTTGACCTTCACAATGATATGCCTCCTCGAGAGTGTTCTTGACTTTTTAGATGTTAGAGTTGTTTTTCTTAACTATAGAAATAACTTTAGTTTTCTTCTGTGGTCTTTTCAGGCTTTTTGGTGTCGCCGATCTGGTCAGTACATTCATTGTTTTTAACAATTCACCAGATTGTTTATTCGGTGACTCCTAAAGTTTATGCCATCTCTCTGATAGATTTATTTTGATGATGACCTCTCTCTCTTTGGGCCTCCTTTTCAAAAATATAAAGCTTTAAAGTATAAATTTAACACTTTGAATCGAGTTACATGTCTTGCCTGACCATGAAACTACTTATCAGAAGCCTCTGAAAATGGGGGGCTGTTTATAAAAACGACTGTGGTATAGTACAGAGGCTACCATAGCAATAGTGAAGTGGTACCATGTTTTTAATACACTTTTAAAAAAGTGTGTTAAAATGTTAGTTCCTTAAAAATACCTAAAATGATTTGTTGTTTAGCCTAATTATCTGCAAGTGTACTCATTTTGAGTTAAACTAGCATTCAAACAAGGTACACTGGAGTAATATACGCCTGCTTATCAGGATTTTAGATTCCTGTCAACAACCTTATACATTTCTAAAAGTTACTAGTATTAAATCAAAGAGTAGCCAATAACTTTTCACAATCTGGTAAACTCCAAATAATAATTTTCCATTTGCTGTGCTAAACATTTATTTAATATTTTATACACATCAAATTTTCCGAGGTGCTTTTAAAGATGATCTTAATACTACCCAACCGAATTCAAGAAAAAGCTATTACCTCCGTGAGTATCAGGAAGTTGCTGTTTCATTAAAGTTGCTTCAGCGCTCCCTGCTGGTTTTTCAAAGGTCTGCACGTGCAACACAAAAGCGTGCACTCTTTTGTGTTGCATTCGCAGACAAAAGGATATCAGCGAGGAAAAAGGAGACATCTCCATTTGGGAAGAACAGAAGAGCAATTCAGCAGATGCAACAGCATTTGTTTTATATTAAAAACAAAAAGCAAAACAGACACATTCAGTAATTGTACAACTTTAGCAGCTAATGTTATACATTGAGGTATCTAAAAAAAACTCCATTCTCATTTTCTGTTACTAAAAAGACACTTGAGATCACAGGTACATTTCGAAATGTACACACCGCAGACCAGACAATGATTTGGCAAACATATAGATTATTAATCACCAGAAACAGTGTTTGTTTTCTTAAATAGAAAAACATATTAAAGTGTACCTTTGCAACAAAGAGGAATAAAACAACAATTTGTTGTTTTAGCTACATTATATTAGGAGTTCAGGTAGGTTCAATATGTAGTGTTGAAGGTTAAGTACCATCACTGAGACCGATATAGCTTGCCTTTCTGTGAGTCCATGTGGGAAAGAAATATAATCAATATAAATAATGTGTCGTTTAAGACTGTTCAATAGGACATCTGTGGAAGGTATATGCTAAAAATAACTTGGATATATGAAAACAGACAAGGCAGAAGTTGGCACACTTAGCATTAAGACACCCCACTGCTCGTACCCATCGCTACCACTGTTCCACATTGTCTAAATAGTCCTCTAAAGTGCTATTCTCATCCAGATCCCACCAGTCTGGGAGTGGCACTTCAGACGCCACGCTGTCCTCAGCAGGCTTTTCTCTCCGCCGCTCCTCGGTTACAACAGAGCGGCTGTTGGTGGGACGCGGCGTTTCTGTGGGCTTCAGCTGCCTCCCTTGGTTTGTTCTGAGCCCACCACGGAGCCGCCTCCTCTCCTGTTGTCGCCTCTCCCTGGCCTGCCTGCGCTCCTGCTGCCTCGCCAACTGGAAACGCTGCAGGAAAAGGTCGCGGGCGTACTCGTATAGCTCTACGTCCCATCGGTTCAGCTGGCGGATTCTGCGCTGCGTCTCTGGAGGTACCTCCACGCTGGAGGCGCGTGTGCCGTTGAGCTGCGTGAAGGGCGCGATGAACTCCAAGTTGAAGGTGCGCTCGAACAAGTACTGGGTCTTACGCTGGTACTCGGTCAGTCCAAAGAAGGCCATGCCCCGCAGGTTGCGTTTGGCGCTCTCCAAAAGCACTGCCCAGCGCTCCTCCTCGCTCATGGTGGAAACGTTGTAGCAGCCAACCAGGCTGAGGTCAGCCAGCATGCGGGTCTGCCGGTTGTTGGCTAGGTTGTAGGGACAGTCCATGAACTCCTGCAGGGAGCAGCCTGACCAGTCATCTCCTGAATAGCAGCTTGGCAGCTCTGACAGCGTTGGTGAACGTCCATCACACACGTGTAATGAGGCCTTCCACGTGGCGCCGCGCTGTACGTGACGCCACTCACTCAAGTAGCGTGATACAGGGTCTCTTAAGATGGTGATATAATAATAGTTCCTGCTGGAGAGAAACAGACACAATTAGATCAGTAATAAAGTTGTAACTAACAATGTTCTGATCTTTTATTTCATTTAGAGCTGAAGTATTTGATTTTACTTTCGTTCATACAGTTTCCCCTGGCTCACAGTGGGTTTGTATACAGTTTAATCAATGGGTGTGTGTTACCTTTACTCAACGGAAGTCTGTGCATTTTCCTGCTGTTTTATGGCTATTATGATCTAAAGTTGAACACTGACAGTATCAGAGTTTTCCTTCACGGAAGGTCTAAACCCGTTTGGTTGGTGCCAAAAAACTTTATCAAAACAAAACAAAAAAACTGCTTCATAATGTTTGGAGAAGGTGAGAGTGGTGAGCAGTAAAGAAGATGCTGATAAATGCAAGAAACCATCTTTAAACCTAAAGCGACCATTTATGACCCCGTTATATTTTACACAGGATACTTCTGTATTGTCTCTATGCGCTTCTATCATACCGGTGCTGTTTCCTTTATCAATGAGAGATATTTTAAAATGTTCTACTATAATTTAGTTGTGGTTTTTAAACTTTCTTTGAGTTTTGGCATCACAGTCTCACCAGATCTTTTTGCCATACTTGGCTGGTTTATAGGGGATGAGTTACCTCAAACTCCACCTGCCTCTAAAGCTGCTAAATGTTCATTCACACAGGTCAGTACGAGGGATATATTGATAATACATATAAGATTTGAGTAGAAATGCAAACATTAGCCACTTTTTCCTAGAAAGCAGGAAGTTTGTCCATGGCGTGCCCGTCTGTTCTGTTTGTACTTCAGGATATTTCTGAATCTAAATCTATTAGTCTTGTTTCGCTGCAAAACATTACAACACAGGGATTAGAAGTGGAAAACTAAAATAAAATCAAAGCACATAATTGACCCCTGGCAACTTTCCATTATCCCTGCCACACCAGTGAATTAGTTCCTTTAAAAACAACTCATGCATCGCTTCTCATTCACCTTGAAGTTGAAATGCATCATGCTCAGCAAACATACTGACCCGTCTTTCTGTTTTTTACATTTCCATGTACTGCAGCACCATGCACTTTGCATACCTGGAATGTACAAGCAATCATGGCTAAACATAGAACAATTACAACAAATTGCTGTGTCATTGCAAAGGTTTTCCTGCATACATAATTAATTTTTTTAAGTGGTGTTTAATTTACTCAAACTTTAAATACACTTTTGTTGGGATTGCTGTAAAGCAAACTATGTTTTTGTGCGATAAACACTTTCCCAGAACTTTTGGACCTAACAACTCCCACACCACTTGCCACAGAAATACTGTTAAATGCCAAAATGACCAGCTTTATTGTGCAATTGTACTTATATACATTTTGACAAATATGTTATCATTTTGACTTATTTGTTTTTCGCCAAAAAGGAAAAATAATACTAATTAATGTCATTGGATGGTCTGTTCAAAGCTAAAGGGGAGAGACTAAATGATAGAGTGGAAGAAGAAATTTATATCTAAAAACATCCTTTTCAACTTGCCAGTAAACCCACAATTTTCCCTCTACAGCAATCATTTTACCAACGAAACATAGGAAAATCCAGCCCCTTACTAACGAGGTCGTCCTCATCATTAATACGGTCATGAATATTTGCATATTAATAATCAAGGAACTGACCTCTCAGCCCATTGTTTATTCAGTGGACTAGGTTCAGTTATTGTGTAAATGTATTGTTTATAAGGTTGGGGAAACCTGCAGTAAAGTGAGACTGAAGGAGCCACTTGGATATGTGACAAAACATTTCTCCCAATGAAAACGCTTCGCCCAGATGAAAAGAATCAACCTTTTGGGACAGTGTAAAAAATATCAGCTCTGTATTTACTTGGTACCATATCGATAAGAAGCTTTGCACTGTGCCACAGCACTAGCCTTCACCATATGTTGGAAAATCTCCCCCCAAAACCCATAAACCCATTTTGAATGAGAAAACCTTGCATTAGGAGTTTTGTTTCCTCTTGGATATTGACCATTTAGGATTACTTGTATAGTAATCTCACTATTATAGTGAATAAACAACTAGACTGTGCAATTGGTGGAAAAACTGTACTATAGTGAATGAATACGTTTTTTTCCTGCATACAATCACGAGCTCTGATTTAAAAAGTGTTAAAAAGTTTTTCCAACTATTTTTAAGTGTTGTTTAATTTACTCAAGCATAAAACAATTTTTTGTTTACAAAGCTGACAGGAAAATGCGCAATTATCTTAAATAAAGCAACAGACAAGCGTAATTACGAAGTGATTACCCCATTAAGACTGGGGGGAAACCTCTGGTGAAAGGCACCAGACCCACTGAGCCCCCCTTTTTTTACCAACCTGGGCAGACTCCTCGGAGCCTCTCGGGAGTCCATGCGTGATGGGACACAGCTAGTCAGCTCAGTCCAGTCTGCGTGGAGGCCGCAGCTCCATCCGGTGGAGAAACGGGAGAAGAGCCAGGTTTCCTTTTTACCTGGACGGAAACAGGTACACTTCTTCTGACCTGCGTGACACTCGCAGGGTCTCTCTAGCTGGATATTTCTCACCAGATGTCGCCCAAAGGTCGTCCCCCCTGTCTTCTGAATGTGCAGAAACACTATGACATCGTCCCCTTTGATATTGAAGTCTACGACGCGATTTAAGTCTTCTTTGGTGAAGTTAAAACGAGGGACAAACCGGGCCATAGCGCCGTCTTCCGCAATGTACGGATCCTTCTGAAACCCGTCCGGGAGTTCGCTGTCCCCTACCCGGGTCCCAGTCGCTTTGCCGCTGTTAAACCAGGATCCCAGCCGGTGCAGCGCCTGGCACTCAGACCTGCTCGGGCACACATACTGGACCATAATTACGCCAAAGAGCATAACCATGAGCAGGACGATCAGAAGCCTGTGGTGGCTGCTGCTGCTGGATTTCTCATCCATCTTCCAGGGACGGACAGCAGACCATCACTCTGGCAGTCTGGACTCCGGTCTCAGACGGGGGAGGATCTCGGGGAGCAGCGTGTGTGTGTCCGACGGATGAAGCCAAAACAACAACAATGAGTCTGTTAGGGAGGCAGAGAGTCAGGAAATCAAAGCACGACGAGCTCAGCGTTTCCCCGGAATATAAGCGACGCCCAGCGCGGCTCTCCGTTAAAGCCGCCGTGTGGTCCTTTCGTGAGTTTCCATCGGCCCCATAAAGCCAACAGTTCCCTGAACACAGCCCACCGCGTCCGGCGCGGCCATCGATTCTTGACCTTTCTACCCAGCAGCCTCCGCGCTCAGTGTGGCAAGAACAATTACGTCATCCAGCAACGTCCCAATCAAGAGCCACGACAGGGTCTGCGCCTCTTCCTGACCATGGAAAGCATTATGAGCACTGTTCCCTCTAAGCTGCGTGACACGGTCTACGCACAAAGAATTCCAACCTGAATTCAAATTAAAATCTACACATAACAAGTCATTCTGTGCTGTTTTGCAGTGTGAGTCAGTGAGTGACCGGTGACTGGCGGCTCCAGCCAATGACAAGATTCACATTTGTATATCAGTTTTCAGTTTTATTTGTCATATGCAAGTTAGCACAGGGTCAACATTGCAATGAAATATGTTTGAGGAGCAGCAGTCACTCAGCAGCATGACACACAGAAAATATAATAAAATTTAATAGAATAAAATAAAAAAAATAGAAAAATAGTAAGGAGCAAAATATTAGAGAGACGTGGTAAAAGAGAAAAGATGACTAAATATATATGTATCTATAAATATAAATATATGTACACTAGTGATTATAGTGTGTATATATATATAGTATATACGCAGCTAATCAATGTCGTTGACAGGTTATGACACCGGTTTTAGGTAGCAAAGCGGAAGACACACTAATGACAACTCGTCCAACCACTGGAAATGTGAGTAGGGAAGTCGAAAAATTTAAAGTAAAGTTTAGGGTCTAAGTCAGATTTTTGCACAGCTAGTGTCATTTATTTACAATTTTAATTTGTGGATACTGATCAATAAATACTGTCACTAGTTTATGAGTAGTAGAAATACAAATAATTGTGTCATTATCAGAGATGGAAATAACGGCCATTACTCTTTTCAGTAACTAGTAATCTAAATAATTACCATTTCAATCATTACAACGCTGTTTTATATTGTTATTATTGTATTAAATTGTTGCTTTTTAATGCCATTTTTATATTGTTAAGCACTTTATATTTATATTGTTAAGCATGGCTGTTTGAAATGTGCTATATAAATAAATTTGACTTTGACCTTGTTACTAACAAGAAAATGCGGTGTGGACTCGTTACTATGTTTCAATGCACAGACGGTTGAACCTGTCTTCAGCTTGGAGCTAGGAGGGGGAGACAATCGCACATGTGCTGCTGATTAGCTGAGGAAGAATAAAGTAGTCATGACCAAATTAAGATGACATTGCAAAAAGATGTTATGTCAACCGAAGACAACTATGATTTCCATTTTTGTCTGAAAGTGTGGACTTCAAACTATATACCAGTTTTTAAATTGTGTTGATTGGCCATGTAAAACCAGAGTTATGATTAAAAAAAATATATGCCATGTTTATTCCTGAACTATCATTGTTTATATTTACTGCAGGAAGAAACTGTAAAAACTGTGTTTTCTAAGGAAAGCGCTTGAAAGCACTCTCCGCTTGTGAGCAAAGACAAAAACCAAAAAACCTCCACCCTTTCCTGTTGGTGGAAAAATGTACCATGTTGACAAATCAACAAATGATACGGCAACATGGCATTTGGATGTTTAGGAAGAAGGGGACGTTGTAGGAGTGACTGCGGAGGGAGATGTGAGAGATTTGTGACGTTAAGCGTGTTTGAAGTCGAAGGTTAGTGAGTTGCATTGTGTAATTAGTGTGTTTTGTGTGTGTAAATAATTTGTGTGGCATCTTATTTGATACAGACTGTAGCAAATTGGTACAGTTCAAGTTATTTTTACTTCCAGTAGTGTTAACATACTACACAGGTCACGAACAAGATTTTTTACAGTTTTCATTGTAAGTGGGATAAAACACTTAATTAAAAGGATTCTAAAAGAAATGTAAATACTGTAATTCGATTATTTTAATAAACCATGTAACTTAGATGAATTCGATGCTGCCGTGACCAGAGTGCACATGTTTGCTGTTGTGCACAGTGGTCCAAGGGACCGCTCAGGGAAGTTTGTGTGTTTGCTCAGACACATGAAAAATTAGAGGGAACATTGGTTATGAGGTCAAAGAAAACTTAGAAAAAAGATTATTATTATTATTATTATTTATTTGCATTCTTATGTACATACAAATCTCTTGGGTGTTGCACAATGTAGGACTTAAAATAAATAAATTCCTTTTTTGTTTGCTTGTTTTTTGTTTTTGCTGATGTCTTTAAGTCAAAATTTCAGGTTAGCATCTCGAAATTTCAGCTTTATGACATGCCTGGTACAGAAAACAGATTGGTTTCTAATTTCACCTTTTTGATTTGTTTGCTTTTAAAATAAATAATAAAATAAGCGAACAAACTGAGAATTACAGTAGTAAAAATGACATTGTTATTTTAGAAAGTGGAGCAGCCAGTTCAATTTAAGGTTTAACAGATTTTATTGGCTCTTTAATCTAATGCTCTCCCAAGAAAAAAACACAACTGATGAACTGGTCCACATCACATGAACGTTAATTAGAACTGTGCTGTTTTTCATTTCCACAACTTCCGGATATATTTAAAGTTTCAAGGACATGACCATATTAAGGAAATCCTCTCTCACTGACATCATGCAAAGGCAACTACAAAAAAACTGAAACGGAGCATTTACACATTTAGAGGTTTAGACCTAATTTTGGGAAATGTTGTTGAAACTTGCAGAAACCTTTATAGAGGCATAAGTTGTTTACGTATGTAATTAAAGAAAGCTTGTCTTCTTATTTAACTACAGTGGGTTTTCTGGGAGGTGACCACAGAGATTTTAGGGTAGAGTATTTAAAAACAGATCACATTTTTCTTACATTTGCACAAGTAGAGGTAAACAACTTTTGAAACAGATGTGCCTGTGCAAGTCAGACTTTTTCTTTTTGCAATTTAAAAGGAACCATTCAAAATCTGATCATGGTCTTTACCGTATAAAAGTGAATTAAGGTCACAGTTATTGCAAATCCACCAAGTTACTGCAAGTGATGCAAGTAAGGAGTTAGCCCACTGACTGTTTGTAGTCGGAGACGCTATTATCACTGGTGTCTCATAGCCGAAATAGCTCAGCTGGGAGAGCGTCAAACTATAGATCTGAAGGTCTGTAGTTTAACCCTGGGTTTTAGTTGTTTTAAGTGGCATCACTGTCATTGATGGTAATATTGAGATAAATTTAAGTTCTGATGCCAAACTCTATCCTCCAAAATGACAATGCTTTCACCCACAGACGCTGCTCACGTTTGGATTGTTCTGAGAGTATTGAACTGCTCTGCCATGCTTGTTCTGTTGGTGTTTAATAGGTTTGTGTTGGCTGTTTTCATCTTCCTTTAGCTCTCTGAGGACACGATAAATGTACCATAATTGGAGATCTATTAAATAACTTCAATGACTACATTTAAAATATATCAAGAAAGACAAAACAACTCACAAAACAAGCCATAAAACCACCACAAAAGTACTAAAACTAACAGTCAGTTCTTTCCATCTTTGCACTCTCCCCACCTTTACTGCACATCGGCACATAAATAAAACTGCAAAGTACTAATACATGAATATATTGCCTAATATAACTAATATATTGATGTCTTTATTTTCCTGGCACAAAGAGGGGAAAAAAAACCCCCAAACAAATAAATCATCAAAATAATATCAGTGGTGTTTACTATCATGTCATTTTAAACAACGTTGGTATCAGGCTGCAGTTTATCAGTCAGTGCATTCCTGTCTGACAAACTGGTAAACACTGGTTTCAGTGTCCATTATGTTTGCTTCTATAGAACCACATGCTGCATGTGACTTGCTTCACCCTGTCATGTGACTCATTGATATCACCTCATGTAAGATGCCTGCTCATAATGACCTACGCCATTTTTGAATGGACAACTACCACTAGGGGTTAAATACCTGGGACTCTACACCTTTTTGGTTTTACAACTGAAGAAGCTTCTTGGATGAGAGGTGAAATGTCTTCAAGAAACTTCAACAAGTCCAATTGCTTTATTTATAACCTCCTTAGACTACCATCACCTCGATGACCAAGAACCCACACAGTCTGACGCCAAACTTATATCCTCCAAGATGCTTGGCCCCATAGAGGCGTTTAAACTGAAGATAAAGAAGAAAGGTGATAGAAAGTGGCATGTTCTTGATGCCAGACATGCTGGTCTGACTGCTGTTTGAGTACCAGCTAATAATATTTAGCATCAGTGGCACCACCTTTCATTGCACAGCATAGCCGAAATAGCTCAGTTGGGAGAGCGTCAGACTGAAGCTCTGAAGGTCCCTGGTTCAATCCCGGGTTTCGGCAATATTTTTGCTTTGATTGTCATCCAGATTTTAGATGAAATTCTGCAACCATCTGACACCAAACTCTGTCCTCCAACATGACAATGCTTTCCCCCACACAGGCTATTTAACTTCAAATGTTCAAGGTCATGCTTGTGCTGGTGATTTTTAAAAGTTTTTTTGTGGGCTAATATGACTGAAGTCAAACGAGACTGAAAAAGTCACTTGGATGAGTGACGAAACATTTCTCCCACTGAAAACACTACAGAGGAACAGAATCAACTTTTTGGGATGTCCTCACCTGAATCAAGAAATTTGAGACACTGAATCAAAGATGTCAGCCCAATATTTTTTAACCTTGTCACAAAAAACAAAACTATGGCTTAACTTATCTTTAGCTAGGGAGCATTTCAAACAGATAGGAGAGACCTCAGGGTATAATTTATTTAACTTTTCTCTTGAGAAGTGTAGACGATATAGAGATTTGAATTAAGTTAAGCACTGTCTTGCATTTATGGATTCTCCAAACCTTCTTCCTAACTCCTCTTCCCATTTAGACTTGATAAAGAACAAGTTCACAGGGCTCATTGACATTAGACTCTGATAGATGTAAAAAATACATTTCTCACTAAAAGGTGAAAGTTGGAGACATTTATCAAGAAAGGAATTGTTAAGACTCTCAAAGCTCTGTACGTATTTACTGACATAGTCTCTTATCTACTGGTGTCTGAAAGTCTCTCCCTGGTAGTTTGTATATCTCTTGTAACTGCTTGATAATGGCAAAGACACCCTCCCAGTATAGATTACTGATTGTACAAAGTCCTACCTGTTTCCAAAGTCAAAATGTATTGTCTACAATAGATGGTTTAAAAGATGGATTGCCTGAAATGGGCATGATAGAGGATAAAGACTTCAAATTAAAGTGT